GGTTTGGTTATCTTGTGGAAATCTTCACAAGATAAACCGAGTACTTGGTGTGATCTTCTCAATCGATCACGGTTATCCAATTGAACGAAGCTTGAATCTTCTGACCACTTGAGCTGAACCTTCTGACCACTTGATCCGTCCTGCACTTGCTTCGCCTTGCCCTACGTGTTTTATCTGCGTCCGATCGCAGTTGAGTTGTGTTGAGAGTTCTTGCAATCCCTGGCCAAACAATCCAGGGATATGACTTGCGTAGTGTGTAGGCTTCCTCGAGACGTCGGGTGGCCAAAGAATCCAGCCCGGAAGAGAAGTCGACACGTGTATTAGAAGTAAAATTGAACTCTGTTTAGTGTTAACCAATCAAAACTCGAAACCTACAATTCTGCCTATCTGTAGTCCAGGATCTATCACCACGTGTCACCCTTTCAGGAAAAATCAGATCTCGATATGTGGTCCACCCCAAATGCCTTTGCCATCCCGATCCATCGGCGATCTTGCCTTATCCTTGGATCGCGATCCGAATCAGATCGCGTATCAGCTCAGGATCGCGGTCGATCCATAATGCGTAATCCTTGTGAGTTGGATCGCGATCTAGGTCGGATCGTGGACCTACGTTGTATCGCGGTTTTGAGTCGGATCGCGATATACCTTGGATCGCCGTTCTGAGTCGGATCGCGCTTCTGAGTCGAATCACGGTCTACTTTGGATCGCGGCCTACCTTGGATCGCGTTAGCCTTGGATAGCGGTCCTGATTCGGATCGCGGTTCTGAGTCGGATCGCGCTCAGCCTTGGATCGCGATTCTGAGTCGGATCGCGGTCTACCTTGGATCGCGGTTTACCTTGGATCGCGTTCAGCCTTGGATCGCGGTTCTGATTCAGATTGCGGTTCTGAGTTGGATCGCGCTCCGTCTTGGATCGCGTTCAGCCTCGGATCGCGGTTCTGAGTCGGATCGCGGTTTACCTAGGATCGCGGTTCTGATTCGGATCGCGGTTCTGATTCGGATCGCGGTTCTGAGTCGGATCGCGCTCAGCCTTGGATCGCGTTCAGCCTCGGATCGCGGTTCTGAGTCGGATCGCGGTTCTAAGTCGGATCGTGGTTCTGATTCGGATCGCGGTTCTGAGTCGGATCGCGGTTTACCTTGGATCGCGCTCAGTCTTGGATCGCGCTCAGTCTTGGATCGCGTTCAGCCTCGGATCGCGGTTCTGAGTCGGGTCGCGGTTTACCTTGGATCGCGCTCAGTCTTGGATCGCGGTTCTGATTCAGATTGCGGTTCTGAGTTGGATCGCGCTCCGTCTTGGATCGCGTTCAGCCTCGGATCGCGGTTCTGAGTCGGATCGCGGTTTACCTAGGATCGCGGTTCTGATTCGGATCGCGGTTCTGATTCGGATCGCGGTTCTGAGTCGGATCGCGCTCAGCCTTGGATCGCGTTCAGCCTCGGATCGCGGTTCTGAGTCGGATCGCGGTTCTGAGTCGGATCGCGCTCAGTCTTGGATCGCGGTTCTGAGTCGGATCGCGCTCAGCCTTGAATCGCGACCGATCCTGGGTGTGTGGTCCACATAAATTGGATCGCGATCTCTACTCCACGAAATTTGTTTAGCCGTTCTTCCACAGGTATGGCACATCAATGTGACCCACCCTCGTGAATGTGATATCCATGGATGGATTCACATTTAACGAGGATGACGCCCAGTTGGGACTAGGCGTCATGGTGACGCTTCAGACGGACGTCATCAGCAAGCTTTTATCAATTTTAATCTCGCACGTAGGGGTACGCATCTAAAGAGACGCCTATCCGATCTTTACATATGACCAATACAAAGTTAGATTTATATTTAGTTAATTCTATTAAATTTAAGTCAGTCTTTAATTTACTACATCACACTCATTGTACGCAGGATGACTGGTAACAGCTTCCACGACGTAGTTAGGTATTTGTTCTCAAGTTCGTTGCACGGTTCGCTTAAGGCGACCGACAACGGCTGGTACAGCGCTTCGGCGCCGACCACCACCACCACCACCGCACGCGGAGGTAAGACGGTCTTACCGCTTCCTCACGATGCTCGAAGGTGTATGCTAGTAGCACATGGCAGTTCTTGAAGTGTTCTAAAAGTTGTATCTGTCTCAGTCTTTTATCGCAGCCTTTTATTTTTGGCTTCCTCCAAGATAATCTCAGTAACTTTGTGGACAGACACAGTTACTCTCACTGGTAATTGGGGCTTTACGCCGCTCTCCACTGTATTATCCGCATCAAAGCTCTTGTACAGTATATGCCTCCTGACAGTATCAACTTTAGCGACTTCTCCTCGTTTTCTCGATGTCGCTCTTGGCACTAGCATCGAGATCAGTACAACCGCTAACTCATCAGTCTCGAAATTAGCTACGATCTTCTCGACAGCTTTTTTAACAGTCATATCGGTCGCATAACGTCTTCCGGTAGATCGATCTACGTCCTGCTTCATCGAGAGAATCGTTCTCGACAGCCTCCGATGTCGCCGCAGAAGTTTCGGTAACTTCTTCATTACCAACCGCTTCGTAAGCGTCAGATTCGACCACGGAACTAATCTCAGCGCTGGTGTCGACGAGGATTCTTCGCTTACAGGTCCTCCTCAGTCGCAAGGGCAGATAATTTTTCGTTCGAAGCACCATTCTTGGGGACCTTTTCATCTGGCGTTTCAAAGCAGCCTTAACCTCTAGGCTATGACGATCTCACTCTCTATGGATGCAACCTTACCAGCTTGTCAGGTGACAAGTATTCCTTCATATCACTAGAAACATTAGTCTTTACGTCCGTGGCCTCATTCCAACACTAGCAGCGACAATTTCTCCGTCGTTGAGTTCGGAATGATCCGTTGGGTTTTCCTGGACTGAAGTTGCTACTTTCGACGAGTGTACTGAAGACATGTGCGAGAGCGGAGGCTAATTGCTGCACCTAAGCTGTTGTGAAGAAACCGAGACTGCTTCGAGCACGGAAAATGCTAAAGCTGCTGTGGAAGAGGCCGAGACTAGACCGTGTCTGTCGCCGATACGAATGAGTGTAGCGAGAGGAAGGTGAATCGTTGAAGCCGAAGCTGTTGAGAAACTGAGTGAGAAGGAGAGGACACGAGACCAAGCAGCCCGTCGACAAAAATGCCTAAGGAACCACCTATTAGCTTACGTAACAGCTCTGACGCAACTGAGGCTAATAGGGCTGTTGGGAAGTCCTAATTGCCGTCGAGAAACCGCTGTCAACATGGCCGAGGCTGACGGCGAGCTCTTGCTCAAGGATTGCAACCTCAACAGCGTCGTGCACAATCTCCACCACAGTCGCCACCTCATTTGAACTTGTGGCAGGGTAGACCACCGTCTTTTCAACAGGTGTGACAAAAGGGTCGACAGCGTCGACCTTAGTCGGCTTCATGTCAATGGACTTGGTATTACTTACCTCGTTTTGGCCTCGTTCGGCGTAGCAGCAATTCAAGCTCTTAACATGTACGTTGATCTCCCTCGTTTGAATGGTTGCAAAGGTTGTTCCAGCCAACCCAAGCGCCGTCCTGTACGAATATCGAGAAAAGTGAAAATCTGAATGTTGAAGTGAGTGCTCATCTGAGCGTTAGTACCTTGTTCAAGTTGAGCTGCTGTTAGCTATCAGCTCCTGAGACGAGTTAGTCTTCTTCACCTCTGTATGAGGTTTTGAGACGCGCATATATGAATTGATGATGATGGATCAGTCAGGTCGCGGTGAAACTTGAGCAGCTCGTGCTCATCTCCGTGTGTGCCGCCGCCAGTGGTGGATAGTGGTGATTGCTGAAGCGCCATGATAGTCAGGCAAGAGAAAAAGCCAAGAGACATGCTGACGAAAAACGTCATGCTGAACAGATCACGTTGGCTAGACGAATGGAGACTGCGTTAAGAAGGGCGAAGGAGAGACACTCCTCTGGAGTTAAGGCATTTAGTACGCTCTATAACTATAGTTTACTACATGTCTAGCTAAAGATGCTACATTGTCGCTGAGAACTAGGATGACACGTTATGCTGACAGGACAACAAAGTGGTCGGTACTGCAACCAAAAGTAGACGCATCGTTTTAGTTGTGCTGGATAAATTTGACAGCAAAAAACGCCAAACTCATGTCCACGCTTCTAGCAGATAGGACGCAAAGGTTGCTTTTCTCCAAATGTCGAATCGGCTCGCATTGGCTCGTATTGCGCGCGTCAACTTCTTCAGCTCATCCAACAAAATACTCATGTTTTGGTACGACCAGGAGGATGTTAAAATGCCTTGTCTTGCTACACAATGCACTCGCGAAAAGCCTGGTCTCCAAACTTCATCGTGCAGTTTATGCAGATCGAGGAGTAATGATTGTCTTCAATCAGACCATCCACAAGAAGACGCTCTCTCGCGCGCGAGCGTCCTACTTTTCTCCAAAGATTGGCATGGAAGAAATCGTTTGCGACCTTCTTTTCCTCTCTCGTGCTGTTCATTCAACCGACTTTCAAATCGATTTATTCTAACTTTGCTGGACAGCAGTGAATCAGAAGCAATGTAGTTAGCTTGATTTTTTTCGCAGCATCCTTTAAAAAGCAAGGCTTAAGGTCTGCCTCGTAGACCAGGGTCGTGTTTACAGAGCAAGTTACCTAAGCCAAGATTGTCTGGGTGGTCGATCGATTACTCAACTCTTTTAGAAAGCAAAGAGTCGCATCATTTACCCAGCCCAACAAGCATCTTAGGCAGCGTCAATGAAAAACAGCTGTGTGCAATGTAGGCAAAAATATCGCTCGAGACTAGCGCATTAGTTCGTTTGCAGTAATTCTCCTAGCATTCCTACAATCGCTTTTGAATGTCAAAAACAAACTCGATGTCTGAAACCAAGTGCGTCTTGCCATTTCATTCTTAAAATTTTCAGAGATTTCGGGCATTTTTTGAACTGAAAACTCCGATCTTGAGGACGGGGTTAAAGCTCAAAGACGGGGGGATTTGCGGTTTCCCTTCAGCTGCTCAAGTCATTAGTCATTTTTCTCTGTCCATGGCGGAGTCAATCATTTCACGCGGCCAGCAGCTTGAAGCAGCAGTAGATCGCCTACCAGGCTGGTACTTTGCAGTGCTAAACCCTTCACCGATCAAGACCGATGCCTTAGGTCTTAATGCAAGTATTTACGCGACACTAAACCCAGTATGCGAGACAGAGGACAAAGCACAACCCATGGACGAAGACGACGTACAGGAGCCTCAGGAGCCCCCGTCTAATACCACTATGAGCTGCATAGACGACGAGCTTGAGTTTGAAAAGCTTGAAATAGCCAGTCAAGAGTCCGATCTGACGGATAAACAGGAGCAGATCCATCAACATGAACTAAGGCAGTCCACGACGTCAAGTGGACATTCCACGACTTCGTCGTCAGAAACCTCCACGGACCTCGTGCTCTCGGGTTTTTCGATGCGCGGGAGGGAAAAGAAGGTCATGTATCACATTGATGTGGTCGACCATGATGCCCCTTTACAGACATATACCATCCGTCGCAGTTACTCGGACTTCAAGGACTTGCACATGCAACTCAGTGAGATTTTCGAGAACAGACAGGCCTATTACCGTAGTAAAGCGGTATCTAGACTTGCTAGAGGAGTCACACCTGTGTCGGATGAAGCTATGACTCAAGAGGATAAGCTCGAGCGCGCCATCATGGCGTTCGCGCTGCCTCCTTTACCTCACGCAGGATTCCTTACGTTCTGGAAACGACACGACCGATTGCATTTGCAATCACGATGCGATCGCTTCCAAGAGCTGCTCCAAGCAGTACAACAAATGGCATTTCTGCGAGAATCCTTTGCGACCCAGAAGTTTCTGAGTGTAGCACCTTGTGCCATTCGACAACGAGGTTCTTCCTATGTGTCGCTATGTGAATACAGTGTACCTACGCTCGATCCTGAGGAGGAACAGAGAGAACGGAAGCGACGAGCACAACAGTACCGTCGAAACAGTAGTGCCAGCACCCACTTGACACGCATGGTGGAGTATTGAGCACAGCCAAGCAACATATCCAGTTTTTTTAAACACTGTGAAGTATTGAACATGAAGCAGTCACGGAAGGAAGGAAAGAAGCAACAATAGGACGCAGCGGCGACGGAGTAGGATGTGGCAATAGTTTGTGATATCTCACAAAGAGCAGACCGTGGTCTTGCAATGTACATAGTTTTCAAACATGGATCCCAGCTATAAATGATAATTCTAGTAGTCGAGCGCCAACTGGTAACTAGCGACTGCCGCGTCTCATTTACTCTTCATTCGACGAAAATCATCGTTTGTGCCGCGTCCTATTTGCTTTTATGCGACGAGTTCGTCGTTCGACCTTTTCGAATCTGACGCTAGAATTCGAACAAATGAGTTCAAGTCTGTCTCCTGTAGCATCTGGTAAGCTAACGTAAGCTTTTAAAGAACTTTAGCATGCGGCAACTGCGCCCGGATTGATATAGCAACTGGCTAATGTACATCACACTCGAATGTGGCTCCATCATGCACATGCTCAGCATTTACTCGGCCGTTTGGTTACTCCGGACTCGTTTTCTGAACGGCGGCAAAAAAGCAAAGAAGGCATTCGCGGTGTGTCCTTAGCCGAGCTGTTCTTAAGCTTCACTTGAACGTTGGCTACATTCTGTCGAAGAAGGAGCGCGCCAAGCAATATATCTTTCCAAAATGTTTCACAGAGTCCCGATGACTGCTCCTTAGGTCCATTGAAGCAAAAAAGCATACGTTGATGAGGCGTCAGGGAAGAAAATAGCACACCGTCTTTGTTTAGTCGCACGTGTGTAAGCTGTATATCATCTCCACCGCGACCGCTAGCTGGATGATATATTACGGCATACTACTTTGATGATACGCCTTGCTTGTCCATATGTCTCAGTGCCGGATTTGGTATCATAAAAAAAATTCCATTGCAAAACATCTCGAGCCGTCATCAGGAACTTGATGTACTGTGTCCAACAACAGAGGAAAAACGTAGGAGCAGTTTTCACTTCAACTTCATCGTCTTTTTCGATAATTGGGGCACGAAGGATTGAGAACCAAGCAAGTGGTACTGTAGTTTGCTCGAGATATGAAAAAGTTGTCACGAACAGTTAGTTATTGCTGCATAAAGACGCACAATCCAGACTTTACGGGTGATAAACTGCTCATGACGGTAAGTCCATGTGTAGAGCCGTGCAAGAAATAGGTGCAAGAAATAGGTGCGAGAAAGCGGCTGATTCTGCGCTCTAGCACCTATTGCTGATGGCACAAAAATATTGATGCTTGTGCTTACAGACGTTACAGCGTGGTGACTACTCTCTTGAATCTCTCTGGTTTGCATTGTTTCGTCGCAAGTCTTTGCTTGGACAACACCAGCTTGATTTCCCTTTCCCGTCAACTATTTCTTCATTCTTGCACAAGTGCTCTTTACCTGCTTTTAGTACGACCACGTTCCTCTGTATCAAATATACCGTCTATTTGTCGATCAGACAAGGCAAAGCTTAGGACCGTGTCAGTAAATCGCTCGACCAAATGGTCGATCAAGTCGTAGAAGAACTGGATTCGTCTGAACAGTTGCAAATTTCTTGAGCGACGAAGCGACGAGCTACTGGACGAGGAGGATGCTTCACTTCACTTAATGCATCGTCAGAATCCCTCGCTTTTAAGCTGTACTGAGCGAGATGTCTCGGATGCGTGCAGCGTGGATAATTAACTCAGCAGCGACTGCATCTTGCCATCGGTGACCATCTAATGACATGTCAGTGTAGCCATCTATTGTGGAGACGAGACGCTCGCAATTTGTGACGCGTATGAGATTATCATCGGTCAATTTTGACGCATACGAACAGCGATGTTACACGTGTGCGGATAGACGGCAGAGAACTAGGTCCCAGTGAGGGACGAAAGAGTAGCTCAAAGGCAGCTGTGTTTCCTCCGCCTGAGTTGCCATCTTCCTACAAAACAAAGATAAAGCGTACAAAACCCAGCCACTTTCCTGTCAATACCGATTGCTCCGTGCGACGATACCCAAACTACTATAGTAAAAGGGAAACCTTCCCTCTGTCTTTTGCGCACTCTTAGTGGGTTTCCCTGACCATCACTCTTGTCCGCACTATGGAAGGAATCCGTGTGTTTATCCCAGATGAGGAATTTGTATGGGTGCCTGCCACTGTCCTATCAGTCGATGCGAGTGGAAAAATCTTCCGCGTGCGTGTGGATTCGCTCCCTCACACTCCCGACTCAAGTTACGAGCAAGATACACCCGCAGAGGAGCGTATCATTGACCTAAACAAAGATGGTATGCCTGACTCACTGCCACTACAAAACAGTGAGCAGTATGATAACGCAGCTAAGACGCCGCATAGTGTGGGTGCTGAGGATATGTGTGAGCTGGGCCATCTCCACGAGCCCGCAATCGTCTACAACGTACGCAAGCGATTTTACGCCAAGGAGCCATATACTTATACGGGCAAGATCGTCGTAGCTGTGAATCCGTATTGTTGGATCAAAGAGCACTATTCAGAGGAGCTACGGGACCAATATACACAGCAGCCATGGGACGCAATGCCGCCTCATGTGTACGCGACAAGTGCTGAGGCTTATAATCACATGAAGCAGCACTGTATTCCACAGAGTATTCTCGTTAGTGGAGAGTCTGGTGCAGGTAAGACAGAGACGGTCAAGATTATGATGGAACATCTCGCAAGTATCTCGATGGGTATTGCCAAAAAATTGCATCCTACTGAAAGGGGAGAAATCATTGTAGTAGAAAAAGTGTTGAAGAGTAATTCGCTACTAGAGGCCTTTGGTAACGCCAAGACGATCCGGAATGACAACTCCAGTCGATTTGGAAAGTTCACGCAGCTTCAGTTTAACAGTGACTACTGTCTCGTGGGTGCCGAATGTCGCCATTATTTGCTGGAAAAGTCGCGTGTTGTGGCTCAGGCTGCAGGCGAACGCAACTATCATATCTTCTATCAGCTGGTTAGCGCCAAGGAGGAGACGTTCGGCTTCAGCGATGACACGTCAGCAATGGATTTCCGCTTCTTACAGGATGAGAAGCTCACGCTGGACGGAAAGACTGATCTGGAGCGATACCAGGTGACCCGCGACGCGCTGACAACTATTGGACTGAGCGTGAAGGAGCAAAACGAGCTTTTTAGTGCCCTCTGTGGTATCTTGCATCTCGGTCAGCTTGACTTTGTACCGTTGGAGTCCAACAAGGACGATGCAAGCCAAGCTGTGGCTTCCCTAAAAGCATCATCACTTTCGGGGACTGTCGCAAATGAGCAGATTGAACAGCAAAAGAAGGAGATCGAGCAGTGCGCAAAGCTTCTTGGTGTGGAGGTGGCAGCACTAAGCAAGCAACTTTGTAGTCGCACTGTCAAGGCAAGGCAAGAAGTGTATTGCGTGCCCTTGTCAGCTCATCAGGCCGGCAACAATCGCGATGCTTTAGCAAAAGAGATTTATGCGCGAGTATTTGGCTATTTGGTTCGCAGAGTGAATCATAGTATTTCAAACTCGGCGGCCAGAGACGCTCTAACACCTTCGTATCTACACATTGATTTGCTGGATATCTTTGGTTTTGAGTCATTCAAGCACAACAGTTTTGAGCAGTTTTGCATTAATTTTGCGAACGAAAAGCTCCAGCAAAAGTTTACGATGGATGTCTTCAAGACGGTGCAGGAAGAGTACCAACAAGAAGGTGTGGCTTGGGAGTTTATCGAATACCGTGACAATCAAGACATGCTGGACCTTTTGGAGAATTCAATGGGCGTGATGGCGCTGCTCAATGAGGAATGTGTGCGTCCAATGGGTAGCGACCTGTCATTTGTATCCAAGCTGGTGTCACTGCGTGAGTCACACCCGCGTCTTGAGAGAGCCCGTCTGAGTCAAATGCACTTCCTGCTTCACCACTATGCGGGTCCTGTGACATATGACGCTCAAGGTTTTGTCGAGAAGAATAAGGATTCGCTCCAGACTGATTTGTTAGAGTTGCTGGGCTCGAGCTCAAACGGTTTGATGTCAATGGTATTCGGTGACGGTGACAACACTGCGTTCATGACGGACGCAGATTTGGCCGTTCGTGCCGTAGCCATGATGGAATCGGGGCCGCGTAGTACGGGTAGTCGAAAAACATCAACATTTATGCAAGAAACTGTGAGCTACAAGTTCAAGGCGCAGTTATTGCTACTGATGGGTGACATCTCCAGCACCGAGGTGCACTACGTGCGCTGCATCAAACCAAACTCGCAGAAGAGTCCTAGTATCTATGACATCAATGCGGTCGTGAATCAGCTTCGTTGCGCCGGTGTCGTTGAAGCTATTCGCATTACACGCGCTGCATTTCCTAACAAGATGGCACATGAAAAGTTTCTGCGTCGATTTGTGATGATGAGAAGCACTAAAACACGTGCATCTGCGTCTACAACTGTTACTGAAGCGTGTGAACAACTTGCCAAAGAGTTGTTGAGTGGCGAAGATTTTGTTCGAATGCAAGAAGGCCCTGAGCATACTAGGGGGCCAACTTTTATTGTGGGAAAGAGCCTGGTCTACTTCGGCAAAGACGTGCTGGAGTTTCTGGAGCACAGGCGAACGACGTTCGCGCACGATCGAGCGATTGTGATTCAACAAAATGCACGTCGATGGATGGCAAGGCGAAGAATGAAAAAGGTCCGCATCATGATCACTAAAATTCAGGCTCTTCACCGCTGCCGGATGCAACGACTTTCATTTCTAGAGAAGCGGAGGAAGTGTATTGTTGTGCAGAGTGTATGGCGTGGAGTGCGCTCTCGCCAGCATTTGTATCTGATGATGAAGCACGAAAGCGCGATCAAGGTCCAAACTATGTACCGCAAATATCTTTCGGAAAAGAAGTTTGCCGAGTTCCGTTCTGCTGTCATTAAGATCCAGTGCACGCTCAAGATGAGGAAGCAGGTGAATAAGTACCATAAACTTCTGTCGGAACGGAAGGAACAGGATGCTATGGAAACCGAGGTAGATCTTCTAAAACACCGCCTCGAGGACGAAAAACGTGCCCGCCTAGAAATTGAAGCAGAAAACTCGTCGTTGCAGCAGAAGTTGAACCAGGTTCGGAACTCCTCTTTGCTTGATACTAATAACAATATTTACGAGAGCGAAGCTCCAGCCATGTCCCGGTCGAGCCGAATAGAGCGGGAGTCGATCGATGATGGCAAGCTGCTCGACGATTCGGAGCGCATGATTGACTACCTGCGAAAAGAGGTTACCAAGGGCCGTGAGCTAATTCAAATTTTGTCCCAGGAGAATGAAAACCTGAAGTCTGAAAACAAGAAAATTAAGGATGCATACACCGCCGCTGGTGCATCCTTCGCTGCACTCAATCAGCACAACAAGCAGCAATCAAAAGCCAACCTGCGGCTCATGAGCACCCACGCTGCTCTAATCAAGTCCCAGGAGGAGAAAATGAGAAAGTACAAGAAGCAGGTGGCAGAGTTGAAGGAGGACTTGCGGATGCAGCGTTCTGTGTACTCTGCAGAGCTCAAGGCCCGTGTGCAGCAGCAGGATGTGCTGATCGAGATTATCAATCTTGCACAATCTGATGGTGTCTCGAAGGATCTGTTGGAGCGCATGAGAGCGATAGCCGTGGACTCGAGGCCCTCGTTTGACAATGGCCCGCGAAGTAGTGATCACCGCTCTCCGTAAGTTTCCTGATACCTCATGTTGATTGTGTGTGCCGAGCTAACTTGGGTCGCTGTCTTCAATGTTGCTAGTATGGTGGCTAGGGAGAGTGAGCGGTTGGACTCGGCAACTTATTTGGGACCCGTACCTGTCTCGGTGTCTCTCAACTCAAACCCGTCTCGCACTAATCGCCGCGCCACTCTAGATACGATTATGAATAACCCAGCGTCGCGTGGAGTCTCGCCGCAAGCAGAGGGAGTGAGTCCACCGGATCCTGGTAGTCTCAACCGCAACAGCCTTACGGCGGAAGATGGTCAGCGAAAGTCGCGGATTGGAGGTATGTTCAAGAAGATATTCATGAAGGACGAATAGTCGGACGCATTTCGACGAGATTGTGTGGGCGTCGGACGTCGTATTGAATGTAGAAGAAGGACCAGGCGGACGTAGCAAGCACAATTGCGCTAACAGGGTCCTCATTTGTGGCTATGGGTTTACATGTTGATACGTGAACCGGTTCGTTTCTCTGTCTTTTTGTTTTCTTTTCGCCTTGGTACAGCCCATAGCTCGTGAATAGCGTTACGCAGTTTCTCATAAGGTCAGTCCACAAACTGCAGTAAACACTAAAAGCTGTAGATATGCCCCTAATTCTTGGTGGTTGGTCGCCCGCCGCTATAACCCCCGAGGTCCACGCCGTCTTGGAGCGTGCTTTGGTAGGTTCCGACCTTGTCGTGTCCAAAGTGTTGTCAGTGCGCTCGCAGGTCGTGGCTGGCACAAAATACGAGTTCGAGGTCGAAAGTTCCAGTGCTTCGCATGACCAAGTTTCCCGGTTCCTCGTGCAAGTGTTTGATCAGCCTTGGACTAACACCACACAACTATTATCTATCGTTGCGGCCCCTGCTCCAGAGTAAAGTGACCAAGTCTTAACATTGAACGAACCGTTGAATCACAACCGACTTTGCCTGAATCTAAGTCTTAGGTATTCCACATTTTCACGGTCGCTTCCCACTTTGCCTTCCAGCTTACGCTCTTGGAAATATCGTATTGCATGGCAAGTCCGTTCATCTTTTTCGCCGTTAAAGCAGCATGAACCTGAAGGACAAATCAACGCCAGTCAAGAAACCAACACCAGTCGAGAAACCAACACCTCTGTCGCGACCAGAAAAGTATAGAATGGTCGGCGACAAATTCTGATCACCATTTATAATGCCGATATCGTTGAGATGACAATGTACTTCGCGCCATGCAGCTTTGATAGTGATTTCGGATGTGGATCGAGGAGGTTTGTCGTGAAAATTGAAAACTAAGCAATCGGAAGCTCGATGCACCCTCTGTACTTCATTGACCTGCACCGCAACACCATTAACAATTCTCGCCTCATTATGTTGCTACCTGCTACTCCAAGTACAAATTGTTCAAAGTACCGTGTATTCAGGCTCTTTATCCTCCATGCCATTGTATTCTGCAAGCCCTGCTGCTGCTAATCCTACACGTACACATTTTTTATTCGCTGGATTGTCGAAATCTTCTGCTTTAATCCTTGCAGCCACCTGTAATGACCCAGCATCGAGTGGTCTCGAAGATGCCCAGCAAATTTGTTAAAATCGCCCATATTAGCGCAAACGATAAGTATGCGATAGTAAACATGCCCATGCGACGACTGCTGCCACCCGACTTTTTGAGAGCCTGCGCTTCAGCCTTCTGGCGAGGCAGCAAAGGCAGGAAAATCAATGCCAACAGCTTCATACCGTAAGAAATCAGGATCGTAATAGTCACGTCACGACGCACCTCCTCCGTATCATTCAAAATGTCCTCGTTGTATACCTTAAAAGATGCGTTCACGTTCTTTGTCAATGTGAGGGCAAATGGTCCACCCAAGTTGCTCACCGTGGTTAATAAGCCATATATCGCTCCTTCGTTGCCACGACCAGCTAATTCCACGACCACGTATGTCGATATGATAAACCCGACAGCATCGGGCACGGCCTCAACAATCGATACGCCCAACCAAAACCACTGTTTACGGACAATGTCCCACGTTACTAGCATAGTACACATGGCATCGAGTGCGACCACACTCACCATAGTCACTACTTGCATTGTCCGCCAGTTCCAATGCAGCCCATACTTACCCGTTAAGGTAAGCGTCACCACTGTCACAAAGCTACCAAAAATGCTGCTCAAGCTCAAGTTAAAGCTCGTTGCATGGACCCAGTACGATGTCATTGGGTCCTGAGCCACATATGTAAATCCACTAAACACACCCGATAGAAAGCTATAGGCGATCACCTGATAGACCGCACGGCTCTGGATAGCACCCCACAAATCACCAATGTACTTTCTAAAGAGTGGTCGCTCCTTCACGACTTCTTCATGCACATACATCCACGTCATTGGAATGACAGGTAAACAGAAAATGGCTAATAGTAACATTGTATCTGGAAATGAAATCCCAAACTCAAAACTACCCCCATAATCCGGTGAGCTAAGTCCAAAGCCCGTAATAGTTTGTGCTAGTACATTAAAGAGCGTTCGTACGGTATAGATTGCCGTTTGCGTACGTCCACGTGTCTCTTCTGGTTCACGTTGAGCGTACTCCACGACGACAGCATCTGCTGCGACATCAGCAAATAGATATCCCAGTGTAGCAAACATCATAAGTACAATGTACTTGGCTCCACTATTAGGTGCATTTTTATTAAGTGACTGGGTCATTTCAATTGAATAATCAATTGGTTTGATATTTCTCATGTCAGGGTCAGGAAAATATGGTTCTTCTAATGTCGACATGGCCATCATTACTAGACACAAGACAGTTACGGACCATCCAAGGACCATATAGGATCGTCTTCGATATCCAAAAAGTGGTATACAATCAGAAATCACTCCAATAAACACTTTAAAACTCCAGGGAATAGAAATTAAAGCTCGAGCTGATGTTGTCGCCGTCCCTTCCATATTTAAATAATAGGTTAAAAAAGGAGTTATTGTACTCGGTAATACTCCATATACAAGCCCCACAGCTGCATATTGCGAAATAAGACCAATACTTTCACGAGATAATAATTTTGGGGCTGAACCTTGACGTAAGGCTCCTTTTTGTGCATTTAAATTGGGGTCCTTAGAGTCCAAATTGGTTATTTTTTTAGTCTTTGTAGGTTCATTTTCGTGATTATTTTTTTCAAGTGGGGAATCAAGTGAATGATCATCATTCTGTGCACATCGACGTAAAGATGTATGTTCATCCATATGTTCAAGATCCGTCTCTTCGTCGTCTGTAGTTGTCGTAAAAGACGTACGTTCCTCGTCCTGGATCATGGCGACTGAAATGGTAGTTTTTTTTCGTCTTTGATGGTGTCTACCACATTATTTCAGGAATTCTTGTCGAAAATAAAGAGCTCGTTTAGAACTCTAGTAAGACTTTAAAAATAGGTTCAAAAGCTACATTTTACTTATCGTTGCAAGTTTAGGGCAAAATATATGCTATTTCATGCAGGTTTTTGGGCAATTGTCAAAAAAATGGTCATACCGGTTTTCGTACCACAAGTGTATACTACAACGCTATGGACAAGTCCCGTACGCCCAAGCGTAAACGTCGCTGCATGGACTCGTCCACACCTCGTCTTAATCATAAAAAAAGGTCTCGCTCTGTCTCTCATCGTGCTCGTAACTCGGAATCACATGACGTTGCATCACAAATTGTATGGAAAGAGTCACCTGTGGACAAACAAATTAAAGTCTCAGGAACCGGAAAAATGGCTGTTCGAAGAGAAATGCAGGGGTTTGTAGGAAGATTAGCACGTGCTAGTCAACAATCACCTTCCTATACGAGTGATGAGGACATTAAACCCGTAGAACGGGGTCGTTTACGACGCAAGACGGAAGAAGAGACAGGTTAGTTGCTACTTATGACTATTGAGAAAATATGTGATATGGGAGGTATAACTAATGAAAGGTTATTGTACTGGTAGCTGGTTCGGTATTCAGTATACCGGTAAATGGAGCAAAAAGCACTTTTGATGACCAGAAAACGCTTGATACGGCTACAAGAAGATGCTCAAGTGAGAGAAGAGTGTCACAGGATGAACTAATTAATGTCTTGGATCAAATGGAGCAGAAATATGGCAGTTCAGAAATGATGGAGCCAGTATCAAGCTCAAAAATCCTATTTCTGGACCAAAAACGTCAATTTTCTAGACATTATCAACCTCCACCTGCAGCTATTACTGGCTCTACGGAGGAAATGAATTTGACATCAATATCAGCTCCCAGTTCTTCCGTTTCAAGTGAGATGCAGTCTCTACGGACACTGGAGACAGACAAGACTCAAGAAGTGATGAAAAATCAAGAGATTGTCGAATCTCTAGAGGAGGAAACGATGAAGGCGCCGGTGGTAGAGGCAGATGTCTTTGACGACCTGACGGACGAATCGTGGGCCTTGCTCGACCAACTTCAGAGTCAACGGGTGCCAGTTGAAGTCACTCAACCATCGCAAACGGAGGTTGCGACTGTGCAAAATTTTGCATTGACTCCACGACCCATGCCGTCAACTGGACATAACGAGCTGAAAAAACCTCCAGTGATGCCGTCGTCAAACATCTCAGCTACAGTGGTGCGACCAATGCATGACGCCGGAGCGGCTCAATCGCTCGAGAGCTACAAGCGCTTTTTGGTCTTAGAAGTTGACCGCATTGATGTTAACCGCTCGCTCCTTTTGCGTCTGTTAGATGACCAAGATGTGCAATTGGAGGCTATGCTGAGCGACGATTGGTATGATGTGCTTGTGGAAGCTGGCGACACTATCAATATCGTGTTTACTGAACAGGACAGGGATGGATATTTCTCGCAAGATGGACACGACAGACATGTGGATCGACAGCCGTTGCGCATACGGGTGGATAACACGCACAACATTGTGGTTGTTCATCCGGATATTCTGGTACTCTAGCGATCTATCAATCTGTTGGAGCGGGTGCATTTCTTGCTGATATTCATTTTTCTGCTGCTGTTGCTCAACTTTAGGTATCTCCTACTAGGGTAACAACAAGCTTCAGATGTTTGCGTCGGGCTGTCCTTCAGGAAATGTTAGCTGTCAGTCGTCCGACTAATGAGAACGCTTTTCTTGGTACACTAAAACATGATCTATTCGAGCATGCACTTCTAAATGGCTTGTCTAGCGCTGAGTGGCTACTTAAAGAAGCCAAGCGGATCGTAAATTCTAAGTATGTGCGATTTAAGCTGGACTGCAGATGCCCCTGCTGACCATTACGCGTGTGACAGCATTTTAGGTCTTGTGGAATGCGGATTGAACGAGGAAAAAGCGTTGTTGGAGCTACAAAAGGTGATTAATGATTTTCGGTCGTGGATTAGTGGGGCAATGGCTGGGGCCGGGACGCTTCTGAACGAAACGGCTCCCTTAAATGGATCCAAGGTGTGCGTGAGCCGCGTTTTAGCAACGGAAGAAATGATGTGGTCCATTAAATGGGGCTTAAAAGGTGCCACGGATGCCTCTGTTGAAGGAACCATTGCTGACTTGCGGATTAAGAGTAGTGAGTATGCAGAAACCAGAGTTTTGCCTCTCGAGCTTAAAACCGGAAGCAAAAAGTTTGCTGGCTCCGAGCATCAGGGTCAAGTGATCCTGTACACACTACTGTTGAATGAACGCTACCGGCAACGGTGCCAGGAGGGGTTACTCATTTACGTTTCGCCCATCGAGACGAACCGCATCACAGCCATGGCGACACATGTTCGTGGTCTGATCATGGCCCGTAATAATTTTGCCAGTGCTATTGCGAGAGTGAAAGCAATCGGTAGCCTTACGTCTGCTCAGGCATTTCCACCGATGATTCGGAAACGCGCGGAGTGTGAGCGCTGCTTTCAAGTAGATGAGTGTGTGTTGCATCACGCGGCGACAGAAAATGGCACTGAAGAATCGAGTGGTCTTGACGAGCTATTTACTTTAAAAACGAAACATCTTGGTGAAGCGGACTACAGTTATTTCAAGCATTGGAGTCGACTCATTGATCTGGAACAGCAGCATGCTGAAAAGAATCTCCGAGCACTCTGGCTCCAGGTCGGATTGAAACGAGAGTTGGCACAAGAGAGCAGCACTTGCTTAGCACATCTCAAATTGGTATCTGACACACCAGCACTATCAGAGTCTGGAGCAAAACGAACACTGCGCTTTGTTCGTGACCGCCGAAAAAGAAAAGATATTAATCTGGGAAGCGGAAGTGAATCAAAGTTGCAACCAACCTCGTTTGCAGAAGTGCGTTTTCGAGTGAATGAACGTGTTATTTTGTCAGCAGAATCGCTGGACGGAAAGAGTTTGCTGGTACATGTGTCTCGTGCTACTGTTTGCAAGATTGAACATGGACTCGTTACGATAGAGGCACGCCAATGCATACCGTCGATTGTGGTAAGCGGGCAATCTGCCGTTGGTAAAGAGTATACGTGGCGATTGGATAAAGACGCAATTATGAGCGGCTTACGACGCGCGAAGGAAAATCTCGTGCGATTATTTATTGGACCTCCGCCCGAGATCATTTCAGCTGGCACGGCACTGATGAGGCGACCAGAATTACAGGTACGCATGGCCTCAATGGTTTCTATAGGAGATAATGGCGACGGTGATACACGAGGCGTTGGAGATGCGCGAAGACGAAACTTGATCGTGCACTTAGCTCGTCCGCAGTTCACTACTTGTCGGTTGACAGATCTGGTAACACAGCGGTGTCAGGATTGCGCTATCGATGACCATGATGGTAGGGTGGCAGCGCTTGGTCAGGTCTTGTTGGATGCATATTTCGAATTGAATATCGATCAGCAGCGGGCTGTCCAGCGTGTGCTAAGCTCTCTCGATTACGCTTTGGTTCTAGGAATGCCGGGGACAGGTAAAACCGCGACAATCGCTTTTACTGTGCGGGTGCTACTTTTTCTCGGGTTTTCTGTTCTAGTAACGAGCTATACGCACTCGGCTGTAGACAATCTGCTGTTGAAGCTGCTTGCGTGCAAGGTACCCATGCTTCGTATTGGTAATCCCGCTCAAGTGCATTCCCGAATTGCGGACTTCACGCTCGATCGACAAGCTGAGCGAGAGGGCATTTCAAGTGTGCAGGCTATGGAGGATAAACTGATTTATGCTCAGCTCGTGGGATGCACATGCCTGAGTGTGAATAGCCACGTGCTGTTCACAAAGCGCCGATTCGATTACTGCATTGTTGACGAGGCCACCCAAATTACGCAGCCCATTGTCTTGAGTGCTTTGCGCTGCGCTGATACATTTGTACTGGTGGGGGACCATTACCAGCTCCCACCGTTGGTGGCAAACGCTCAGGCTCGTAAAGAAGGCATGGATGTGAGCTTATTTCGACGGTTAGCGGAAGCTCATCCCGAAGCGACTCAGCAACTGTCGTACCAGTACCGAATGAACAGAGATATCATGCTGTTGGCGAATCGGTTAGTGTACGACAATAAGCTGAAATGTGGTTCATTTCAAGTCGCATCGAACCATCTCGACATCAGATGGCAGCGGCAAGATAGCCTCGAGCAAAACCTAATGTGGCCCATTCGCATGCTGACGAAAAAACAAGGCGTCGTGTTCTTGGATACCGACACGATGGGTGTGATAGTAGAGAGCTCCAAGGTTGCACAAATGAGTATCAATGGTCGTCGACGGATGGAAAACGTTGTAGAAGCGCAGGTGATTGCTGGATTCGTGGAGCTCTTAGTATTGGGGTCGGTTCCAGCCGAGGAGATCGCAGTTATCTCTCCATTTCGCTCTCAGGTAGCGTTGATTCGGCAGCATCTGACTGCCGTTGCTGCATTCCGCCGCGCTGGTGTATCTGACTGGCATCACTCGGTCGAAGTGAGCACCATCGACAAGTACCAAGGCAAGGATAAGGACGTGATTTTAGTGTCATTCGTTCGATGCAACGAGGAGAAACATGTGGGTGAACTGCTTACAGATTGGCGTCGCATCAACGTTGCAGTCACTCGTGCCAAGCAAAAGCTGCTTCTAGTAGGGTCCGAATCAACTCTCAGTGGCGGCAGTGCTCTCTTCCATGTGCTCGCTGATATTACTCAGCAACAAGAATGGGGATACAAGCTGCCGCGTGATGCTGTTGAAACGCTTCGTCACTTAGCAGGGAGTGTAGCGGCTCCCATCGAACCTGATCCAGAGCAAGGTGCAATGTCTGGATCACGCATGCGTTCGACAATTGATACGGTAAAAGTGTCGATTCTTCAGCGCTCTACAAGCAGCAGCAATGGTGATATCGAATCACTCGTGTCAGACGTGTCAGCCATTCCCTTGCGTCCCCATCAAAGACCTCGTTCACCACAATGGAAGCCCATTTCACGCGACATTTTTGGCGACATGTGACAACGGGATACATTAGTAGACGATCAAATGTCCATGACAGACAGACCCAAGAGGTATCGATGCTATACAATCACAAAAAGAAGAAGAAGAAGAAGATCTCGGTGCATCATGGATTCCACCCCACTATTATAAATGCAGTTAGAAACTTACGTAACAATTACAATGTCACGTGTGACTCCCTCCGACGTCTTCGTTCACATGTGTTTCGAGTCGCCCGTCATCTTGTCCTTGACATCGTGTATCTTTTCCTTTGCACGCTCCATCATAGAAGGTGTCAGCGCTTTCTCCGTTGCGTTGATTTGGTGGTCCAATGCAGTGAGACTAAAGTTATCGTGAAGAGTCTTCTCCACTAACCCCTCAACGGTATCCGTGCTCCCCAAAATACCCCCTCCATTCTTGTCTTTACTGTCCAATAAACTTCCCTCCTTATGCTTCTCATCCTTGTCCTTGTTGTGATGGCCACCCATGGCAGCATCGATCGTGCCCTTAATCCCCTTCGACTGCTTGTTATCCTTGTCGTAGTTACGAGCCGTTATCTTCAGCGTTTCCATTGCCTTGGCTGTGGCATTCATCATGTTGCGAGCAGATGCTACCTCCGTCTTGGTCCGGTTCTTGCTCATCTCATCAGCCACATGCTTCAGACTCGACGCAGCGTCCTTTGCCGTGCGCATGTCCTTCTTCATATACGACGTGGCCGTATTGGAAAGGTGATTGCTATTACGGCTATCGTACTCGGAAAGGTGCTTCTTCAGCAATTTCAGACATGCCGACGTATCGCCAGCCGTCTGATTCAGGACATGTTCGAGTTTCAAGAACTCTTCTTCGACAACAGCGTGGTGATCGGTGGATTTGCTCATGGTAAAGCTGTTGCTGTTGCTGTTAATGTTGGTTTTTGTATGGACTTGTGCGCTTGAGATCACGTTTCGAAATGAGCTCGGATGGGGTCGGTCGGGCTCAGTCTTGTATTCAAGATATTGAATGAAAGATAAAAAACATGGAATGTCTAACGGTCTCTGTAGCCATCGGTATACAAATTCTGAATGAATATATAGATAGATATCAAACAATGGACGTTTTATTAGGACGTTTAGATTCATGTTGAAGTGATGGTTCTGTATTTGTCTCGTAATTTTAAAAAGTCAGCCATTATTTTTCTGCAAAGATCTGATAAAAAAACTTGCAGAAGTTTTTTTTTCGACGTTAAAACATAATACTGTAGCCATAATTAACGAAGACGGCCATATGATCGTACCTTTTTATGCCACATTATAAACTACCTAATCGAATACCAGTTCATTGACCTTCACTCCGACGGGTATCTTACAACTTATCTTATACCTGTCTTAAACAATACATTCTATAACATTATAATACATGAGAGTATTCATTTAAACAGAACCTTCTCTATAACTGACACCAAGGTGATACCTAGAGGTGGTACCCATGAGTCTGGGTTGGGTAATTGCGTTTACCCACGACTCAGACTCATTCAAATTTTATTACCCACGACTTGGACTCATACCCGCGGGTAATTACCCATGTTACCCGCGCAATAAACATGCATAGTTGCGGACTATTTAATAATATGGAAGGGAGAAAAAGCATTATGAAAATTGGTAATAAAAGTACACACTCTACGTCTCCCACGTGGAAATTTTAAGCGAGCTGACAAAGGAAAAAACTAGTCCCTTGCCGACAAAAAAAATTGACCCTGTGTCCTTATCCAATCCTTGAGGCACAAAAGCCTCTCCAAGCTTTTAAGGAAAGCGAAGTTCTGTTTTACCTGTATTTCTTCTACCTTGAGAAAAACCTTTATCAGACGGAGTTGAAGACGCGGGGATGGCCAGATAAAATATTGCCATCCTTGCAAGTTTCGGGAATTGCAGCTGATGCAGTGCCCACCACTCCAATGGCAACTAGTATATGTGAACAGGCAAAAGAGCAAAATAAGGTTGAGCTTTTTCCTCGACTTTGCTCACTACGGTCTGTATAACTATGCCTTCAGCAAATGCGAAGACGTCTGGCTCCATGTCGTCATCGCTCTTGTCGTTACCAATGTTGACAGGTGGCAGAAGCAGGAAATATTCTAATGGACTTCTGATTCATGTATGCTACATCTACAAACAGCAACTCAATTGTTGGAATAAGTTGAAGAACAGTGGAAGTTGCTGGCAGTTGGCAGTGGATGGCAAGGCATGTGAATGGCAGTTGGTGTGCTTCATGGTTGACGGTATGAGAGGGGAGTCGTGCTGACGCAGAGTCTCAGGTTGTACTTGCCAACTGGCATACGTCTTAAAGAGATGTATGTTAGGACAGTAGGGCTTGTATTGTATGGTAAAAATGAACGACAGTTCCGAAATTGTATCGTGTGACACAAGTGTAAATTAGAACAATTGCTTCTGGGCTATGGCCAAGAGCTTAAAATTGCTTTGGCCCTTCGTCGAGGTTTTTGAACCAGCTGATATTCCATATTGGATCTAACACCGTCGCAAAGAAATTTGCATCCTGTTTAAACGCCAGCTTGATATATATTTCTTGAGTTTGCTTAGCATGGCCAGCGCCACCGGCTCCAGTTGCTTTGCATCATATGTGCGGTAGACTTTCACCAAAAAAGCATAATGAGTCACCAATACATTTAACAATTATAAAATAATACGAGCAGGTGTGTCTGATGTATGTCTCAAAAATTTGGTACATTTACCCATGGGTAAGGTGGTTAATTATAGCCAATTACCCATACCCAACCCATGAGTCTGGGTATGGGTAATTACCCACTGAGTCTGAGTCTGGGTACCACCTCTAGTGATACCCAAGCAGAAATTCACATCTGATCTTGTGGGAAAAGAAGGGGTTGGCTGCATCTGCTCAGGAGATGATAATGCCCCCAACCAACCAGTCAATCTTCGTGGCATCTAATCCGTCCCCGAATGAGGTCGTTCAAGCTCTTTCACTCTTCATTTCAAGCTCTTTCACTCTTCATTTTGCTTCCAAACCTCCAAGTCGCTCCTCTTTTTCAAGATGTCGATCAAGTCCATGGAAATGCCACTTGCTACGACGCTGTTTGTTATCGTGCTCGTTGTTTATTCGACCATGGAAATGGCGACGGCAGATCTGCCACCAGAGGATGCCCTACACACTTCCCAAGCATCGGATACATTGCGTGTGGATCGGACACCTCATGCCTTGAGACGGTACTTGAGATCGACCACGGACGTGACGACAACTAGCACTGACGAAGTGAGACGACTAGTTCTTGATATTTCGGGACTTAAGGAACTTGAAAGCTCTCTGGAGAAGCAGACGGTAGCCTTCCCGGCTAGACTACGTCAAAGTGTTTCAACGATCTACTCCAAGATCATGACAAGAATTCGAGCGCAATGGTGGCTCTGGGCTACCAAACAAAGAGATTTCGACGAGGTTTTCAAGTCTCTGCAGCTCGACAAACCGAAAATGAACCCATTTGTAGACCCAAATTTTCCCGTGTGGAAATATATCGTCGAGAAAACCACGCCCAAGAAAGACGTGCCTGAAGTGATGCTCAACACTATGGTTAAGGTATTGGGAGATGTAGGTAATCTGGAAAAGTTCCTCGCTCAAGCAAAAAGTTCAGTCAAATTTGGGGACAAGGTTGATAGTCTTTACAACTATCAGATCGAGAAGTGGGTTCAAAATGGAGACACGCCAGAAGACGTTTTTAATCATCTGAAACTTGACGAGGAAAAGAATCTTAAAGAACTGCCCAGCCTCCCAGAATTCAGCATGTGGGCTGCATTTAATACCCAAAAAGAGTCGACGAATAAGGCCTTCGAATTCCTGAAGGGATTACATGGCGACAGAATTATTGATCTTGATCTGATGAGGGCTCTTGCTGAAATCGGCAAAACCGATGCCAACTTTAAATTCGCTCAAGACCTGCTATTATCCCAGCTCCAGTATTTGAAGAAGAATTCAATATACTGGGAGTCATCCTTCAAGCTTTTCAAGCTTCAAGGAAAAGAAACGTCGAAACCAACCGATTTGACTATGGATCCGCTTGGAAGGCTTTGGGTCGATTTCGTGTACATGAGAGCACGGGGCAAAGATGGCCTTACCAATTTCGGTGTAGTCTATGATAAACTCTTCAAGAAGGTTGGCAATGTAGCCGCCGTAGCGGGAATGGAAAAGGTGCACAAGGACGGCTTTTTTCTGAAATCGCTGAAGGAGAATCATATGAAGAAACAAGAAGATGTGGCCGAGGAGATGTACAAACCTATGCTTAATGCATTGAAAGGTGAGGGTAATCTGGCCAAGTTCCTAGCTCAAGCAAAAAGTTCACCCAAGTTTGGGTACATAGTTGAAGGTGTTTACAACTATCAAATTGAGAAGTGGGTTGAACTTGGAGACACGCCGGAAAAAGCTTTCAGACTTCTGGGACTCAACACATTGGAGAAGCTCGAAGAACTGCCCACCCTTCCAGAATTCAGCATGTGGGCTGCATTCAATGCCCAAAAAGAGTCGACGAATAAGGCCTTCGAATTCCTGAAGGGATTACATGGCGACAGAATTATTGATCTTGATCTGATGAGGGCTCTTGCTGAAATCGGCAAAGCCGATGCCAACTTTAAATTCGCTCAAGACCTGCTATTATCCCAGCTCCAATATTTGAAGAAGAATCCAAAATTCTGGGAGTCATCCTTCAAGCTTTTCAAGCTTCAAGGAAAGGAAACGTCGAAACCAACCGATTTGACTATGGATCCGCTTGGAAGGCTTTGGGTCGATTTCGTGTACATGAGAGCAAAGGACTTCGATGATGTCTATAATGAACTCTTCGCTGAGGTCGGCCGTGTCGCAGCCTTAAAAGTGATGAAAAAGGTGCACAAGGACGGCTATCTCCTGAATTCGCTGGATGAGACGAAACCTATGAAGGGAAACAAGAAGTTTGCTATGTTTATTAAGAATCCTGAAAAATACGTGGCGAAGAGATCCAAGTATACATCTGGATGACGGGGAAGAGCAGGTGAAGGAAAGGTTGTCACTTGACATCGTGATATCGGAGATCCTGTACTTACCTTGACGATGGCGTTGTGGAATAGATAATGGTGGTAGAGGCTGGTTTTTTATGCTGGTAAAACAAATTGCACTTTTCAGATACTCTCTAAGGATTCCAAGTCATATACCTGCCTGTAAATAACTTTGGCTGTGTACGGGTACAAGATGTATTGGATGCACTTAGAATGCAGACGTGTTGGGTGTCTATTATGCTTGCAAACAATGAAGTTGGATCGTTGCAGCCAATGGCAGAAATTTATCGAGCAGTGCGACGATTCGTCAAGGACGAGGAGAATCGGTTACCTATTGTCGTGCATACAGACGCCAGTCAAGCGTAAAGTGCGCGTAAATGTCGTGAAGCTTTGACGTGGATTTGGTGACAATGGCGGACCACAATTCTATGCTCCAAAGGTTGTCGGCGCTTTACGTCCGTGATAGCACGGTACTGGACACGATTAGTCACAGATCTAGCTGACATGCACGTGGCTTCTGAGGTTGCCAAAGATACACTGCGTTTGTCAGTGGTTCACTCTACCATGCAGGAAGTGGTGATACACGCTGCTAACGCGATCCACAAGGCCATCCAGCAATTGTTGTAGCTTTTGCTGTTGTCCAAAACTTTTCACGAGTGCAGCTCGTGTAGGCTGTAATCCTATTTACGAGGTCGAATCTAGCAGCCCCGGGGTTTGTTTGCTGAGTGGATGAGAATGGTTTCTATTTAGTTCAACACTAATCTCTACAAGACTGCACCTTCAGTCTTCATTGGCGTCAGCATTGTAAGTCGGTTGAGTGCATATACTACTACGGCCGGGTGGCTGCAATGTACATGGCCCAGGAGCGCGAGAGGCCACCATCCATCGTCACAGTGCTCAGCTTTTCCAGCGCAAACTCTTTGTTAATGGTGGCGTAATTCATGTAGAGAAGCGAAAGCCATGGATTGGTCTGCTCATCGTTCTGGACAATGGACTCTCGAGACAAAACCTGGTTCCATTCTTGCAAGACAAAATCACGTGTGCGCACGAACTCGGTGACGGCCGTGGCCGGAAGCATTTGAATGCCGTGAATTGCGTACTTCTCACCGCTAAACCACGTGGCGTAGCTCACCTTGTTGTCGAAAAGAATGCCCATAACCTTGTTGTCACGGTAACGATCCGGGTGAGCTCGGTTGCCGTCTTCGATCAGGAAGTACGTTTGGATAGCGCGGGCGTTGAGCTTAACCATGAGCTTACCAACAGTTTCAAGGTGGGTATCACCCGTCACTTTGCCCAGCAGCGTCATGCCGTAGTAGAAGTTCATGTCCTCGGACGTGCTTTCTTCGTCCTTCCCGTCTGCGAGAGCCGAGATGCCGTGTGAGTACGAGTGACCGCGATACCAATCAAGACTGCGAAACTTTGGGAAGTACGGGTCTGCGTCCGATGGATTCGCGACATCGCGGATCAAAAATCCTGCCATGCGGTTGAGTTCCGGAATTCCTGACCAAGTGGGGTCGAGCTTGTTGATGATAGCGGCAGTTACGATAAAGTAGCCGTAGTGGTAATGGTGATCGTTGTACATGGTGTTGCCAAAGTCAACGTTCGGGTCTTTGAGAGTAAAACCCTGTGAGCTCACCAAGCCGCGGTAGACAGTGTCATAGTTTAGTGCGTTGGTCCACAAGTTCTTGAGGAACGGCTTCATCACGCCCTCCAGCTTTTTCACACAGTGCAAAACTAGCTCGGTGTCGTCTTCGCCAACGATAGACGGATCCCCAGCCATCAAACAAAGCGAAGCGTACTTTTGTGCAGCCTTGCCGTTAAAGTAATAGCTCTGGCCCAAAGCGATCGTCCACTCGGAGTTGATGTCGGCGATCAAGTGCTTCTTCATCTCGAACTTCTCGACTGCTTTCGCATTAGGTTTTCGCGGGGGGTAGAAGTCCACGGGGAAGTCCACCGATTCCACAAGGCGCCACTCGGGTGGTGAAGTCTTGGTCACTACACCTTGCATCAGTCCACGTGTGGTGGAATGAGCAGCAACACCATCAGCCTCCTCTGCAAATCTACGATCCAGAGTGTCGACATGATGGACCTGGGCGTAATGTAGCATTCCGTTCGTGCAGTCACCGCTGGTCTTCCACTTGTATGCATAGGCGTTTTCGTTGTGGGCTTCAACACGGCCTCCATCAAGGACGCAGCTTGCCGTTTGATCAAAGCAGTTTTGCTCCTGCGCAGATGCATCAGGGATCAGTGCAACACGAGCAGTTCCGTGGAAAGGTTCCTTCATGTCAAGCGTAGAATGACCGTCAAAATGAAGCGTAACTTCCTTGGAAAAGTAAAGCGTCCAGGTGGCATCATTGCCAAACTGGAGCACATAGCGGGTGTTGGTAAGAGGGCGGTTGAAGATCTCAGTGGAGTCGAAGCCATTGATCGTTGAAATGTTATACATTGTCTGGAAGCGCGGGGTAAGACCCGAGTAGCGAGCCGTGATGAATGCCATGCCACTTGCAAGTGTCGCCTCAAACTTCTTCGAGGAGTCATCACGCGATAAGAAACGAGTTTGCACACTGAGATCGTCCCAGTCATACACCTCGAAGATTGGATGCGACAAGTTGGAGAATTCCGTGGCGGAGAACGTAAACTCAGGCACTTGGCCGTGAATGTACCACATTTCAGCGTCACCATTGCCACTCAAGCCTCCTCCGAATAATCGGGTCGTGAACGGGTAGTTCATCGTGAGACCGAAAGGCTCCATAAAGAGAGACGGCGTTACACTGTACGGGTTCGTCCACACGGGATACACGACTTGAGTCTCTCCAACAGTGGCTCCGATAATGTTGCCCCACCAGTCGTTAGTCGGAATAGGACGTGAGCCCACGATACCAGAAGCGAGGAACTTGGGCGGCAGCAAATTTTTCTGTTCGTCGGTGTGTTTAAAGAGATTCTCAGGCGGAGCTTCAGCGTTGAAGATTGGCGTGAAGAGGTCGAATTTGGCGTCAGGCGGCACGGTCGTCGCACTTCTCATCGTCGAGCTGCTTGGTTTGAAGATGCCAAAGACTGCAGCGGCGAATATCAGAGTCGAGATAATGGCAAGAACGCTCCATTTACTAAAGCGGATGTTAACCAACGGTTGAGTAAGCGATGTGGATCGAGTTTCAAGCAGCGGATGTGCCTCGCCGTTGTTTTGATAAGGTCGAGGACTCAACTGCACCATATTGGCGACAAAGCAAAAAGTATCAATGTAGTGAGTCACTGTTGTAGTTGTTGTTGGTAGAATTGAAAGTGACTAAAGTAAAACTTCATCTCTATCGCACATTAGTTTCTTGATCTATTCCAAAACGTTGCAGCCACGATGTCGATGAACTGTTACGATGTATAAGCTGAATCAATGAGACATGCTCGTGTTCTCGTCAAAATGGCACGCATTCTTTTTTGTTGTTACGTTTTGGTTTCTTAACCGGTGGTGGATGGGACTGCTTACACTGAAACTGACGTCTTATTCGTCGTCAAATCGAATCTCAAAAAACTGAAGATACGTCTGGACTTTCTTTCACTTCAGAAAATGGTTTACGTATACATGAGTGAATGTCGCTTAGTAGATGATTGTACGGCCTGCATGGATGTGGACGCCTCTCTATATATGCATTGATACATATAAACTACTTTGCTAGCTATCGGTGATGGTTTGACAGGTATTGTACGTGTAGCAACATGATGGCTTCATGTGCTATTAATCAAGTGTATCAGCTCATGTTTTTTGAGAATGTCTCCAATTACGTCATCGAAACGACCGACGAGATACAGGCTACGAGTCCACAGTCGCAAGGACTATGCGCACAGCAAGCTTGGGTGTTCATACGGTTGTTTAATAGTGTCGGTTTTGCAGAATAATCTTGACTTCTGTTCCAGGCATGTTGCTCAGCAACGCTTCATATACAGTCTCTTTACTCTGAAATTGCAATTGATTTACCGGGTTGTCTGGAATCGATTTGATCAGGTTGTAGATCGAACTTATTAGAGCTCATACACACGACGAAACATCACGATTGACAATGGGAGACGAGACCCTTTTTTACGTGGAGAAAGTTCTCATCGAGAGCGTATCCTGTCGACTGTAATTTGCGGGAGTCTAGACAAGAATGTTTGGGATGTGTCACGAGAAGGTGCGATATCGTTAAGAAAATGGCTTGTAAGTTGTTAAGAATTTATGGAAGTGGGTGTAATAACGGATAATGTAAATTCATAGCATCAATTTTCGATAAAGAGAGGTCCGCGGCTACAAAGTGATGTTTTTTTTTAACGTCGACCCTCTGAAGCAGTCGACTTCTTCCACTAAAACCCCCTTTCAACCCAACTCTTACTCTCTTTCTAGCGATTCTTTATGCCTCCAAAACAATCTGCCACACCGCGCTGATACTTTTGAATTTGAGATTTTCTTGTTGTCGTTTTCTATAACTCATTTCTGACATCGAATGGGACACGCATTGCACTGCAAGCCGCAGCCTTACACTCTCTGGTTGGCTGCGGGACACAAACTCTTTAGCAGTGTCTCTGACAGCTCGAAAGCCATTAGTGTAGAACTTTGACGTGATGATAAAGATTTTTGGTGACTATCATACTCAGCGAGTTTGCCTTTAAGAATTTCTAAGGCAATTGACTTCAACTTGCAAGTTGGAAAAAAATGCGCCGTAAGAGAAGTTGACCATGCTAGAATCAGCAAAACATCTACTTTCAATCGATAAGCATCGCAGAAAATAGTGGCTGCCCTCCCGTGCGAGACAAATGCGAGATATAGTTTTACGAAGAAATCCAGCGAGTAGATAGATCGCTTCAACATCAAAGTCTGCCAATTTCATAAGGGCGTCCATTGTGTTGCCGCTGTCTCAAGTATTTAAGTGTTGATGCTTAATTGACCAACAGGGACAGTTGGCTTTCCATCTCTTTTTCAATGCAGTCGCTCGATATCCTTAACTCGGGACTGAGCAAACCCAACAAGAGCTCATTTCAAAACGTGATATTAAGCACACAAGTCGATACTAAAAAACAAACACACCAAGTCAAAAACTACACCAAGCAAATTTATCATGAGCAAATCCACCGATCACCACGCTGTTGTCGAGGAAGAGTTCTTGATGCTAGAACATGTCCTGAATCAGACGGCTGGCGATACGTCGGCATGTCTGAAATTGCTGAAGAAGCACCTTTCCGAGTATGATAGCCGTAATAGCAATCACCTTTCCAATACTGCCACGTCGTATATGAAGAAGGACATGCGCACGGCAAAGGACGCTGCGTCGAGTCTGAAGCATGTGGCTGATGAGATGAGCAAGAACCGGACCAAGACGGAGGTAGCATCTGCTCGCAACATGATGAATGCCACAGCCAAGGCAATGGAAACGCTGAAGATAACGGCTCGTAACTACGACAAGGAGAACAAGCAGTCAAAGGGGATTAAGGGCACGATCGATGCTGCCATGGGTGGCCATCACAACAAGGACAAGGACGAAAAACATGACAAGAAGAAGGACGAGAAGCATGACAAGAAGAAAGACGAGAAGCATGACATGAAGAAGGAAGGGAAACACGACAAGAAGAAGGACGAGAAGCACGACAAGAAGAAGAACGAGAAGCACGACAAGAAGAAGGACGAGAAGCACGACGAGAAGGAAGACGAGAAGCACGACAAGAAGGAAGACGAGAAGCACGAGACGAAGAAGGACGAGAAGAAGAAGGACGAGAAGCACGAGAAACACGACAAGCAGATGGTCGATAAATACGACAAGAAGGAAGACGAGAAGCACGAGAAGAAGAAGGACGAGAAGCACGAGAAACACGACAAGCAGATGGTCGATAAATACGACAAGAAGGAAGACGAGAAGCACCACAAGAAGGAAGACGAGAAGCACGAGAAGAAGAAGGATGAGAAGCACGAGAAGAAGAAGGACGAGAAGCACGAGAAGAAGAAGGATGAGAAACACGAGAAGAAGAAGGATGAGAAACACGAGAAGAAGAAGGACGAGAAACATGGATTGTTTGGTAAGGATTACACTCATAAGGATGGAGGTTTACTCGACACCAACGACAAAAATGGAGGTGGCATCCTGGGGAGCACGGATACCGTCGAGGTATTAGTGGAGAAGACACTTCACGACAACTTCAGCCTCACTGCGTTGGACCACCAAATTACCGCAACAGAGAAGGCTCTATCACCTTCTATGATGGAGCGTGCAAAGGAAAAGATACACGATGTCAAGGAGAAGTTGACAGGCGACTCCAAACACATGTGAACGAAGAGTCGGATGTAGTCACGTACTTGTTTCTAAGTATTTAACTGCATATGTAATGGAGTGGAATTTAATATCTTTATGAACCAAGATACTATTCTTTCATAATTGTATAGCATCGATAAGTTGTGGTCTGGCACGGAATCGGTAGCTCTTACCGCGTGGCGACTACAGCGACTCGAGATTAATCAGATGGTATTCAAGTTCAGTTTTGTTTAGCCACAAAATGATAAATTCTTGATGCAACTCTCAACGTTGTAGTAATACAGGCTAGCGTCCAATGAATCGATACAGATAGCGCACTCAGTCTGTAGTATGAACAGAAATTCGTACGTGGTGGTAATAAAGCACGTGTGTCCTAACAGTTAAGGCTTTGTGCTGGCCATTCCACGAGCTGTAGAAATTCTAAAGGCAACTAGTATCGAATCTGACTGCTCAAAGAGTTACTATAAACGACAAGAAAATGCCCATGGCAATGTTCTTCTCTGGGCATGTGCACGCACTATGGTTTAATGCTCTCTACTTCTATCTCGTATGTCAATGTATTGCTTCGATTCTACTGTCTAGATTGCCCTATTAAAGTAAATAGGCAGCAAAGAACTCATTTCTTACCCCAGGTACCGTGACAACCAAGAACCTCTCTAGCAGAAGAGTAAGCGTGCTAGTCTTCGTACTTTGCGTTACCACAATGCTCAACATTTAACTGCCACAGTTCTGTGAATTAATTACAGACCTCTTTGACATGGCAACTGTCGCTCTACCACCCACTGCAAGAGCTCGCAGTATTTATAAGCTACGACGGTCAAAGCTTGGTCGTTTATTTATTCTTTCGTAGCGACATCTGCAGCTTCTAACACCACCTTCATTGCTCACAATTTACTGCAGAGCATGGTACCCAGCATCAAAAATATTTTTCTTATACTGTAATGCTTAATGTCGTATGCACACGTGTTGGCAAGCTCATTGCAAAAAGCTCGGGCATATTCGGAAGAACTCGTAAAAATAATGCAAACATGACTGAAAAACCGAGATGGTTGATCAGAAGATCAATCGTTTTGTCTAAACGCAGGAAGGCCGAAAGTCAGCCTTGATTGTATGTGTAATGTGTGCGCACGTGTATGTATCGAAAAAGCTTGACGTACTGTAAGTACACTTGCGTAATTGAAGTAAAAAAAGATTAGGTCATAGCCATATTTGTAACCTTTAGTGGCTCCGTGGCTCCCAATTAGTGATATCAATAAAGAAAGGTCTGCGAACGACTTCTATCAAAAAGAGGAATAAAGTTTGATTACTCTTTATATTCTAGATTGTGTACATGTATACAGTACACGTATAGCGAAACTAAAAATGAGCTTATCGAGATTCTAAAAGGGGAATAATGACATTTCAGATACCAAAACTTAATATTAGTTTGTAAATTCAATGTCAAACAAACGGCTAAGCTAAACCTCATACAGTAGTCTATCATTCTCACATTACAGTACTGTATGTACAAAATTAAACTCGAATATATGAACGATAGCAACCGGCCTTTTTAATTTCTCAAAAGCATGACAGGTTCTACGCATCCTTGTGCTCTACAATATTATCAGAATTTAGTGATACAAAATTTACTCAATTCCGCAATAGACCAGATCTTTTTTTTCATAAGGTTTGTCGAAAACAGCTTGTCATCTGCCATACTACCAACCTCTACCATACTTCACTACAATAAACGCTCTTTCCATCATCAAGCTAAGTAAGTACCTGTAGAATATGGTGGTCGCATTCCCACAGAAAGCAAAGGCAGGTTTGTCTGCACTGGTTGCGTGCTGCTTTCAGCCTTCGCACACGGACGAAGCTCCGTATATGGTCCAGAATCAGTCTACCCGACATTCTGATATCGATTCATCCAATTCTATTCTTCCGTACTACCAAAACCCACCACGGTGGATCAAGGACGACTTTATAGAAGCCTGTGTTGACTGTAACGTTCAATTTGATCTGATGAAACGCAAACATCATTGTAGATGTTGTGGTCTGGTCTTTTGTGGCCATTGCGCTGCTAGCTTTGACCGTATTGTCAAGTTTGGTTTTGTCGAGCCCGTACGACTGTGTAACAATTGTGCTACGACGGTCAAGACTGAGAATAACTATTATGACAAAGTTCTGCCACTGCTGGAAAGTGGAGATCTCTTTCGCAAGTATGGTTTGATACGGAAGAAATATGTATATCTCACATTTATACGAGCTAAACACATTTTTCAGTACCAGAAATTTAATCTCGAGAGAAGGACGTATGAAGGTGATATCAAGGCTATTCCACTCGATGGAATCACAGACGTTCGTGAGGTGGAAATGGGACAGGACAATGCTGATGTGGGGATAATTGTTGCAGTAGGTTCGGAAGAACACAGATTTGATGCCACGACGACACTCAAGAGACAGCAATGGATCGAAGCAATTGTCGGAGCACGACAAATGCGTGACATGATGCTAGCAAACGATCGTGAGAAGCGCCTGAAACAGGTTGAGAAAGAAAAATGACGAGATCCGAAAGATGTCTGAGAATCTGCATATGATGGAAGAGCGTCGTGCTACATTTCAAGAAGACCGTATGCGTCGCCGTGCTGCAAAGCGCGAGCAGTTACGTGCCAAGTATCATCTTGCAACAGCAGCATCGTGACCTAAAAGAGATGAATCGAGCGCCGGCAAGCGAGCATACCTGCTGCTGTCTAATTTCGTGTGTTTTTTCGTTTAGAAGCCCATCAATCTCCACCATCGACATGCAGTACATGTATACAATTGACACTACCTATAGCTACACATTTTATTTGCTGTTTTGATGTAAAGCTGGTCATCATGCACATGTGCTATACCAAACCGATTCTTAAAAATTGGAGAACATGTGCTAAGATAAAGCTTGCGAGATCATTCAAAACTTTATTGTTTTTTGTTGACTCTTCGTATCCAGCTGATTCCCTGAGCATCAGGTTCTTGGCAAATTACTTCTTGCTTTTGGCATTCGAGTCGCGTATAGTTGCTTCAAGTTCATCCCACTTGTCTTTGCTAATCGAGCTTAGCATGTTAAACTCGCCAGCGTTCGAAACCGTCTCACCACCATCAAAGCGAATGATCTCGCCATTGAGCCAGCTAGCGTAGTCGCTCGTCATGTACGATGCCAAATTGGCCAGCTCGTCCACTTCACCAAAGCGTTTAAGTGGGTTGTTCTGGAGCATAACCTCTTCAAAAGCTCCTGACGGATCAAGACGGTCGAACGCACCCTTTGTCTTGATTGGGCCTGGAGCAATACCAACGAAACGGATACCGTACTTGCCCCACTCTACCGCCAATGACTTGATCATTGCCTATAGAAATTCACGACACAAAACAGATCATTCACATTATCAGTCTTCCCTATTGCAATAGAAATAAAGTATAGAAATGATAGAAATTGTGGCAGAGACGTACACTGACACCAGCTTTTGCTGCAGCAGAAGGGACAACGTATCCTGACCCTGTCTCAGCATAGGTCGTGGTAATGTTAAGAAACACCCCTCCTTTTTCATGCTGAATCATCCGTTTGCCGGCATCGAGTGTCACATTGGCTGTGCCTTTCAGAACAATATCTACAATAGTGCCAAAGCCTTTCGCATTTAGTCGCTCGAAAGGTGAGATAAAATTGCCCGCTGCATTGTTAATTACGACCGTCGGAACACCCGCTTGTTCGTCCAATTCATCGAGTGCCTTTTTCACCTGCTCAGCGTCACGGACGTCGCCTGTGAGTGGAATGACCTTATTTCCTGTAAGTTTCTGAATTTCCAGAGACGCCATTTCCACGACTTCGCGTTTACGGCTCATAATGGCGACGGTCGCGCCAAGATCCGACAATTTAGTGGCAATGCCCTTGCCCAATCCCGTTCCACCGCCAGTGATTAACGCTACTTTACCCTCAAAGGTACCGCGTGGCAACATGGTACTTAGCACAGGAATTGTACGGGGGTTTGCTGTACTCTGGGCACGAGATAGCGAATAACGTAGCAGTGAGGAAGAAGATAAGAGCTTGTTGGTCATATTGAACGACGGTTTAGAAATGACTTTTCAAGGTGGTTGAAGCTATTGCGAGATGAATATCATATCGGTAAGAATACCGGTGTTTTTTTCTAAATTGGTCAGAAATATCATTGGTCAAAAGAGATTATTTGTTTCGACCAATAGTAAGACAGAAGTCGAGCACTCGATCACACACAGTGATGAGCAGACTCGGGATGCTCCGTCGAGCAGCTCTTGGGATCCGACAGACGCCGTTATCGCGTGCTCAAAACGTATTGTGTCTTCATACCACGTTACCAGCTTCAAGTGCTTCATTTTTGCTCGACAATCGGCAATTTTCTACGTCTGATGCGACCCCTCTGACACTTAAAATGACAATGACTGACGGACAGCTTACAGGTTGCAATTTCAAGAGGATTTATCCATTTTGAGATTGTTTATTGAAAGAAATTATGTGGCTATAGATGCTGCAGCTGCTGTGGCAAGCAACAGCACGGGACACGACCCCTGGGTCATTGTACAAGGCGTACAAGCGGTTCTTGAGACGGTGCACACGACCACAGGATTGCCGTGGTGGGCGACACTAATGGTGATAAAGTTGTAGTAGTTGAGCGGAGAACTAAATTGCACTGACATTTATTTCTGTTGTTATGTTTTAGCTCTCTGGTGTGACGCTACGTGCTGCTATCTTCCCGTTCTACGTGTATCAGATCCAGGCGACACAGAGGTACAGTTTTCTTGATTTTGCTGTAGTCATGGAGTACATTGGTATATTTTGTGCTGATACTTTTGACCTTTGGTGAATCTGAAGGCTGATGCAGGCAAGCATGGACTTTAGAAAGCTGTACTCGGCGTACAAGTACGCACGTACATTTATAGTAAGAAGGCATTGGACGGATCTGTTGCTATTTTTTCAGGTGAATTGACTGAACTTGTGGCTGTTTTATTGTGCAGCCCGGATCAGACCATAAGGGACATCTTGACGCCATTCTGCTTGGACGACAAGGTATTCGTGCGGTCATGAAGAAGTACAACACGCGTCCTATTCAAACTGTCATGGGCGGCATTGCACACATCCCTATCTTCGTTGTCATGGCGTATAGTGCTCGTGATATGGTACGGTCCGGAAACTTTGCGGGTCTCGAATCTGGTGGCTTGTCAATTTGGAAGAATCTGATGGAAATGGATAGTACATACGTGCTGCCTGCTCTAGCGGCGTTGTCTACGTATGGCAATCTGGAAATGTCCGCGCGAACAAAGAGTGGTTTGTGGACGGACCTGCTGCGTGCAGGGCAATACGGCACGATTCTTGCTTTCCCGTTCATGGTTAATTTACCACAAGGGGTTTTCTTTTACTGGCTGGGATCTTCATGGTCGTCTATGGTGCAAAGTATTGCCATGACCAACAACAACTTTCGCAAACGCATTGGACTCAAACCTCGAATTACGGAAGTACAGTCAACTGCTGCAAAAGCAGCTGAGATGTCAGGAAGAAGCCATATCACCAGGGACATCAAAAAATAAAAATAGACATGGTGTCGGAATGATGCCGAACTTACTTCAAATCGCCGTCACGTATCAGAAAAATCAAGTAATCCAGCATTTAGTGTGATCCTAAACTTGATACACTCTTTTATTTCATACTTTGTACTTGAACTGTACTATGTTTTCTTAATAGCTGACCTCTTACTATACGTACAACTACATATTTAATATGTTTAGCGTAGTGCTGACTGGCTCACTTAAATATACACGCAATCAACTTCCCAACCGCCCAAAAGGGTGTCATTCCTTAAGTCTCAACCACTTGAATCAAATGTGTTCTCGACGTAATGACATCTCAAACACGACGCAACTTGAAAATGCTACACATCTGATTATACTGCAACATGGTCTACTAGGTAGCAAAACTGATTTTGCACGTTTCATGGCAATTTTCGATGCTCAATTTCCACCAGAAGATTTTCTTTATTTGCACGCAAGTGAAAGCAATGCCTCTGGTTTCTTCCAAACCTATGACGGTATTGACCAAGGTGGTGAACGTCTGGCTAATGAGATTCAAAAGTTGACACTAAAAATGCCAAAGTTGAAAAAGTTTTCCATGATCGGACACTCTCTTGGAGGTTTATACAACCGGTACTGTATTGGGGTGCTCCTGAGCCGGGGGTTCTTCGATAAAATCGAACCAATGGTACGTCCTGTCTTTCTCACGTCTAATAGAAGCATTACTGACAACCTGTGGGCAATTGGATAGAATTTTGTCACGTTAGCAACACCACACCTTGGAATCCGTCGTCCTCGTCGTGGTGCAACGAATGCCATTTTTAATGCACTTATGCAGAATATCTTTAGTCGAACGGGAGCACAATTGATGTTGAAAGATGTGGCAACGGAGGAGACACAGGTACTCAGTCACTCTTTGAAGCAGTGTCAAGACAAGAATTTCCATTCAGGTAGAAACTTTCACTACGCCTCCACCGAAAGGCTATTGTTGTTATTTTTTTTGCTTTCGTACGGTTGCAGCTAACGATATTCTTGTGGTTTGGTACAGCGTGGTCAAATGAGAGTGGATCGCTACTGGTCCGTCTTCCAGCGTTGGAACAGCAGCACGACGACACTCAGGAAGCATTTGAGCTGTTTGATTGCGTCCTCAGCGGTCGAAGGCTGCAAGTCTTTGAAAGCAAGAAACTGGAGACAGACAAGAACAAGTTAAAGCTTGAGATCGATCTGAGCTGCACCGATGTGCAGATTTTACTACCCAGTGGAAAAAGCACTGGTGACGACGCCAAGTTTTTTCTGACTTCTATCGAATCGGAGCAGAAAATTGAAGAAAACGGGACGTCCAACGAATCTGGCAACTTCGATATCCAGATCCGTTGGCCTTCTCCTGCGACAAAACCAGTCGAGATCCACCTCTGTGTGCTTCGTATCCCCGACGATAAGCTTCATTGCGATTGGAAATGGCTCGTTGCTTTCTGCAACGCTAGCTTTGGTGTGCGTTGTCTGACATCAATTGGAAATACCGACGCGACAAAGCAGCAAATTCTTACGACATCACCTCTTCTCAGCTGCATGACTAGAGGTCAGTTCATGCAGGCATTGCAAATGTTCAAAGTGCGTACGTTGTACTCGAATATATTTTTCGACTTGCAGGTGCCGTACACATGCGCAGCGATACGCGCATTCAACCCGTATCGCGCGAGTGCAAGCAAGTGTGAGATGTCTTCCGTCTACACTCATATCGCGTTCGACTCTCTCAAAAGCGCGGAGAAAGTGCGAGATACGATTCCTGACAAGGTCAAGCGTCTCGCCATGGAGTTGATCATACCTGAACGAGCAGCTCAGGCATCAACTTTACATTCGGAGGAGCAGCCACATAATGGTCACGATGTTGAAGGCAGTGACAATCTCAGCACTGAAAGCGGCAGCAGACGTAATTGCCACGATGCATCGGACTCGAGAAGAAAATCTGCGCCAGTTTCAAGTGATATTGGTCAACGTCGTCACTTTTTTAGCCGTCGTCGGGGGGAAAGTACGGGCAATGCGCCTTTACATTGTTCGGTTGGTGTTCGCCCAGTGCCTTTTGTCGACGGTGATGTCATTCTTGATCAACTTCCGTACGCTTTTACAGCTGATACTGAACAAGATGAACTACGGGGCATGCTACTTTCAATGCAAAGTGTCGGCTGGCGACGTATTGATGTCTTATTTGGTGGCATCATGGCACACGAGCATATAATTGCCAAGCGAGCAAACGTAGACAAGCCGCTTGTTTCAGGCATTGACATTGTACATCATGTCATGGATACATTTATGCTCTAAGTAATACATTATTAACGTGTTGGATATTTGAATGGATTTTTTCAGAACTTACTTTTTATATCAACACCGAGTTGTTACTTCACATAACATGATCTTTCACAAGACTGACACGTGCACTCACAAGCCATCGTCTTTTCTCCTTTTTTGTACGCACTCATCGTTCGTTTGTACTACTACTTATTATCATCTTGTCAAGAAAACAAACAACATTACGTCCATTTTTAAAAACTACCATTCCTTGAATAATGTTAAAAGAACAAGACCCAATGATTGAATTATTACGGAAATGGATTATTTCCTCCATGGATGAATCAATTGAATTACGTGTGTCTGTACTCAAAGTCTTTCGTTTCATGAGTGACCTCATTTCAGAGCATATCGAGAATTCCCAACAGAGTCGTCTTCACAAATTCCTGCCGAAAAGCACGAAACTTTTCTTACCATTAGATTTGATTCGTGCTGCATTTGACTACGACATGAAGACACATTTTCTTGCACGGAAACGGGTGCCACCAACATTTCAAGAAGTGCGTCATATTTTGAATTTGGCAACGACAAATGCCATTGCTGGAAAATTAAAACTTGTCACATTTGACGCGGACGACACGATTTATGAAGATGGTGGCACGGTTAGTAAAAGCTCGAAAATGGTGCACATTGTAGTGGAATTGTTACGACGAGGTGTGGTCGTGTCTCTTGTGACGGCTGCGGGGTATCCGGGTAATCCGGAACGCTATGAACAACGTCTTTGTGGGATTTTGGACGCTCTTGCGGAATTGACAAGTGAAGAACGGGCAAGATTTCTTGTCATGGGAGGAGAGTGCAATTACCTTTTTGAGACTTATACGCACAAGAGTTCAGGTGTGGTGGGACTGCGGGAGATTGACGGGGCAGTGTGGAAGGACGGACGAGGTGAACGTTGGCCTGAAGAAGAAGTGACGGCATTGTTGGATGCAGCAGAGGTGGTGTTGCAAGACACGGTCAAAGCACTGCATTTGTCGACGAGGATATTGAGGAAAGAGCGAGCGATTGGTATCATTAACACGTCCGACAAGAGGATTCGGTACGAGAACCTCGAAGAGATTAGTCTTACGCTGCAGCACGAGCTGCGTGACTTTCGAGTGCCATTCTGCGCTTTTAATGGCGGTAACGATGTGTGGGTGGACATTGGACACAAAGCGTTGGGGATCCAGGCACTGCAAAAGTACGTCTTTCGTTTTCTGCCCAAGGAACTACGTGATAGTGACGAGTTGCGCAATATTCAAGGCCAAGAGTGTCTCCATGTAGGCGATCGCTTTACGAGAACAGGTAATGACACCCGCTCTCGAGACGCTGCAACGACGATTTGGATCTCGAATCCTCAGGAGACTGTGCATATCATGAAGATTCTGTTGCGGACGATTGACATTGCACGTGAACAGAAGGAGACAAAAGAGGAGAGACAAAAGGAAAAAAAGAAGAGAAAGAAGAAGAGGAAGGCGAATGTCAAAACGTTAGAACCGACTTCAGCTACCACGGCACTTAGCGACAATGGCAGTAGCATCACATTTGACGCTTTGGGAATAAACGTCTTGAGCGATGGCGAAAGCAGTGGAAGCAGTGACGAGCGGGAGACCACAGTCAAGGCAGCGATTCAGGCTGCTACAACGGCATCGCTGGCCGAGTGAGAAAGAATCGATGCTAGTGATAGTGTGCTAATAAGGCTACGTGTTTCTTCTTGCATATCTTCTTGAAACTAGTCACCACACCGAGTTCATTGACTAATAATGGTCACTAGCATAGATTCATCGTCATTCTTAGGAATCCTTAGCTCCTTAGCAACATGTTGTCGCAATGGATCAATCGATGCACCAAGCAAGTTTGGTGCATCTCGAGCACGCAAATAGCAGAAAAATTGACTATAGACTACGTTTTCAGCGTGACAGCAAGAAGTTGACTACGAGATAGTCTCCATGTCGAGATATAACGGCATCTCATCGGTACATGACTAGTTCATTTTGTTCACTATGTTGCAGTGGGTCGCAAGATGCCTTGACAACTAAACTAACGGACGACTAACTACCTTAAAAGCGCAGACTGGTACAGCAATATGTGCTGTGACGATGGACACGGAATGGATCGCAACAAGCACATATGATCACTTGGTCAGGAAGCTCTGAAACACGGCGCTTTCGTACAGTCCCCGATGTTCAGCAATATATCGTAGCACGTTGGAAAACTGCTCCTGGCGCTCCTCGATCGTTCTTTTACTCTGTCGACCTCGTACAAAGTGCACAATGCCAGCTCGATACAATTCTGGCAGCTTGTCGGAAGCGGGCACCTTGATCTCCTTCAACTTTGTGTACATCTCGATAAAGCTAGAATAGCGGCACCGAAACGATGTCGGCCATTTGGCATTGTCTTTCACCTCGTCTATGAGCTGCACGTGATACATCACGACACCATTGTCCATCGAAGTATCCACAATAGCGTAGATTGGTGCGTGGAAGCTAAGTAGTTGTGCATTCTCCGTTTCTTGCGTCTTCATGCTCGAATAGGACGTGTTCGTATTCGACGGTTCAACAAGAAGACTGCTGCTTGCAACAAGAGTTCTGCCGCTTTGTGGCTGCAGTTGATCATTCTCAGCTAGTGCTTCCGTCATGTTGGATAAGACAGCATCAATCACCTTCTGCACGATCGCAGCAGCAACCTCTTTGATCAATTGGTATTCAATGACATCGTCGCCATTGCAATTTTTTGAGACGAGTTCAGCTGAAGACTTATCACGGACAATAGCTCCCGTCTCCGTGACAATGTACTCGCCACCCTCACTGAATTCCGACAAAGCTACAGATCGTCCTGTGTCGATGTGATTGTGGCTGCTGTCGTGGCTGCGGTGGCTGAAGCCAGACGTATTCAGCTCGAATTCGCTCGATTCCGTCATTGTTGATTCACTCACTGCACTGCTCTCACCAACGTGCGTCGACGAAGATAGCGATGATGACGTCTTCCCCTCGGGTTCCATCATGCCGCTGTCGCTCATAGTCAGTGTCGCACTTTCCTGCTGTGTGCTGCTCGAAGCTTCGACATCGTGACTCAATCTAGTCCGTTCTTCCGGGATCACCATCAACTCAATCAGGTCACCAGTCATGGCGAACGTGAGCGATTCGGGCGGCACGGGTGATGTCTCTTCAACGGACGTGAACAAGTTGTCGTTTAGACTGGAGTGGGTGCTGCTGGTCTCGGACGCTTGAATAAACGAAAAGGTGAAGGCGCTCATCATTCCATGCACCGGTTCACCATCGGAACTGCCAACCAAGTCGGCGCTGTCCGAGACGACGAAAGATGGCAATTCTTCAATATACTCGTTAGTCTGAGAACCGCTAGTAGGGGCCCAAAGCTTCGTGCTCGGAACGTCAAAGGCTGGCGTTGCGGGTCGTAAGGGCACTGCAACACTACTCGCACGATGAACGAGCATCACGTCCTTGGAGTGTTTACAGCCCATGGAAATGATGAGCAACGCGGGACTTGCAAAGGACTAGTTGCGTAGATCACTTGCTGAGCGAAAACGGACAGGCGACACAAGTAGTAGTGGAGATGTTGTTGGAAGTACCACAAATTACAGACTGCAAAGGTTTGGTTCGGACAGGCGGCAAATTTGAAGCAACAAGTGAGCAACGCACTAACAACACAAGGCAAGTAGCAGATGAGATTATAAACTTGTGCTGTAAGCAGCAGGTAAATGATACACAATCAATGTTACGAAACATATTGGTGTTTTCCATCCCGTGTGCAGCCGTCTATGGATTCTCTGCCGGAACAACACATTGGATGCTCGTACTTGTCCCGATTTAGCTACACTTCAACTAAGGTCGATCTGCTTTGCTCCGAACAAGAAGTTGCTAAATGACGTGCTCTGAAACGCAACTGGGTGCCTTGTAATAGCGTTCAGGATTCTTGTGAACTGCTCTTCGCGTTCCTCCAGTATCTCGTCATTGTAGTTCCCATGTAAATTCGTCCACATGTCCGCTTTGGGCATCTCTGGAAGTGCCGGCTGTGCATTATTGAACAAATCCGGCGACGCTACCGGCACAATCCCCTCCTTGGCCATGACCTTTGACATTTCCGCGTGCAACGTCATGAAGTCCGTGTATCGCTTGGCGATGTGCAGCTGATTGATCGAATCTTCTACACTTGAGCCGTTAAAGTGGTAGAACATGACACCGTCGTTATCGGCGACGACCTTGACGACTGAAAAAGTGATCGTACCACTTGACAGCTTCTTCTTCTTGTCTGCAACTGAACCTTCTTCCATCTCTGACGCTCTTTGAGTAGATTCATCGCTGATACACTCAGATTTCCTAATAGGGCCTACATCACTACCTCCTGGACGTTTAGCGATCGACAGTTCGGTGAAGTAGATCTCCATCAACTGTCCATCCTCATTCATAGTAGAGTGCGAGCAGCCCATAGTAACAAACTTTGTCTTGGTGGCACACTTGGCGTAAGACGCGTTATGAGGCTGCTGAGATCATTTCTACAGGATCAACTGTATAGGGATGGCAGAGCATGCAGTCTGGTCTTCATCTGAACATCTCTTCCGTGTTCTAACGGACGAGAGCATAGATGTCATTCAAGACGACATGGTGTGCCTATGCTAACACTTGGCATCTAGTGTTAAGCCATCATGTAAACAAGGCTAGGGAGTGCTTGACACTGGAATGTAGTAGAGGTAAAAAATGGATAGGATATATTGGTAGCCTTCCGTTGGGTCTACCACGACTAGTTTAAGCGATGAACTCTGTGAAAGACTTGCTCTGGAAAGCAGTTGGGTGAGCTGCGATAGCGTTCAGGATCTTTACGAACTGAGCCTCGCGCTCCTTCACTACATTTTGATTGCCACGACCGAGTACAAACGTGACAGCGTTAGCCCGTGGCATTGACGGGAGTGTCGGGCATGTCTGAAATTTAAACTGATCCTCGCTCGCCATGAGCTTGGAAATCTCGGCGTGCATCCGTTTAAACTCCGAGTAGCGCTTGCACACGTGTACCTCCTGATTAGGATCTGCCGGGTTGGAACCGTCGAAGTTGTAAAAGGCGATGCCGTACTCGTTGGTGCTGACTTCACCTGGCACGAATTGAAGGGCAAAGTCAAAAGTCTTCACGTCCACATCAACCAAGGCCTCACTTTTCACCGACTTCGTCTTGGCCTGTTGCACGACCGCTGCATCCGAAGCCTCAACCGTGATCTGATCGCTCGTCCTGGATTGAGTGCAGCCCATGGTCCGGTTAAAGTGAAGACTCGATCGACTTTTGTGAGGTAGAAATTTGAAGAATGAGCGTTGTTGTTTATGGTGTTAGCTCCCTTTTACGTCGTCTGTCGTCACAATTCTCACTCAGGGTAGTCTCACATGGCAGGACACATGTGGGCTGGATGTCCTTCATTCAGCAATCCGGCCAGCTCACTGATAAACAACGACACCAAGTACCCTAACACTGTCTGGATGCCAATCTGACGTGTCGATGTCCAGTACTGCATAGCCATCTGAAATTCTTGCAACTAAACGACATATTGGCAACATACGCGAGCTCAACAGCGCTACATTGTCCGTAGTGCTATCGTTGTCAGATAGATCCGTAAAATAAACTGAGCTTCGTTGTGACTAAGATCAAATTCGAGTAATTCTTACCAGAAGCGGCATACGCATCGTTCATTATACATCGCAAGAAATACTAAGATGGTGCGTTGAGCTCTATCTAGCTACAAAAGCTCTATGTTTACGCCAAGAAGGCCTTAAACACGTCGCTATGCAATGCAATCGGGTGCGCTGCAATAGCGTTTAGCAAGATGGTGAATTGACTCTTGCGTTCCTCCAACAACTTCCTGTTATTCCGGCCTTGTAAGAACGAGGCAGCAGGCAAGGCTGGAAGGTCCGTCACCTTGCTGCCTTTGCCCGTCAGCTGCGCGTGCAGAGCCTTGAAATCCGAATAGCGTTTCGATATGTGCACGTCGTTGACAGGATTGCTTAAGTCGGAGCCATCGAAGTTGTAGAAAGCGACACCCTTGTCGTTAAACGTCACGTTCGCGGCCTTGAAGACTAGTGAGCTTTCAGCAACCTTAGTCTCGCTCTCAGGGGCGACAGCCATCACCTCCGACTTTGGTTCGTCCTCCTCTTGTATCAAAGCGTCAACCTCAGCCTCCAATTTTAACACACTATTTTCAACAAGAGGTGCCGACTGTAGAGTAAAGGCTTCATCATTTTCCTTGTCCTCCAATTTCGGAGCAACCTCCTCGACTGATGCAGCTACTTCAAAAACCTCCTCGACTGATGCAACTGCTTCAACAACCTCCTCGACTGATGCAACTGCTTCAATAACCTCCTCGACTGATGCAGTTGCTTCAGCAACCTCCTCGACTGATTCAGATGTTTCAGCAACCTCCTCGACTGATGCAGATGTTTCAGCAACTACTTCCATGTGTGCAAGTGTTTCAGCAACCTCTTCCACGGGAGCGTCACAATTTAGTACAAGCGTCTCGTTCACTGAAGATGTTGCATCTGTTCTAACAACCTCCTCGACGTGGTCTGCACCAAACTCCGTGACTTTCTCGACCTCCTCTTCACCTGCTGCTGCAGCAGCAAAGTCCACTTCTTTCTCGACCTCTCCTTCAGCAGCAGACTCCACGATTTTCTTGACCTCTCCTTCAATTGGCGCAGCAGCAGGTTCCTCCTCTTCAACATCATTAATTGACACAGACGCACGAACAGTAGGCGGCTCCTCCTCCGTCGATGCTGGCGGGTCCTCAATAGCAATCGCAGGGGCTGAAACATCGGTATTGGCCAGCACTTCGACCGTAAAAGTGTCTTTTGATACGCGCTCGACGATGTCGTCGGTCGTTGTCTTGGATTGACTGCAGCCCATGTTATTACGATTAGCTTGAAGAAAGGACTCGAGATTTGAGTAGGACCGAGAGAATTCGGGAATGGCGATTAGCAACTACCAACCTTTCTCGAGTCTAGACGATAAGACGACGGCATAGACCAAGGCGATATAGTCTCCGATAAGTCGAGGTACCACGCGTATCTCGAAACCATCTGGATAACAATCCTATGTGCTAGCAAAATGCAGGAATCAGTTCATGACTCCCGGCTGCAAAGCTTTCTATCTTGTCCGCCAGACACGGCACCATTTGATTGTTAGCTGAAGTCGCAATGTGAACCAAGCTATAGCTCATAATTACATGTTTGTACAATATCTAGTTCCTATCTATATTCGTCGATCCGCTGCCAGGTCGACGCTGTGCTGTGGTACGCTATTGCGGCGGCTATTGTTGCTCGTTCTTGTGTCTCTATTAAAACTATCATCCGCTGAGCAAAGCTTTACCTACGCCAGGAATGCGATAAAGGCAGCGCTTTGAAACCCCTCCGGATGCTGCGCAATGGCGTTTAGTATCTTAACAAATGCATCTTCGCGCTCCTGTAGCAAAGCCTTGTCGTTGCGGCCCTGCAGGAATGATGTGCCGGGTAAATCTATCAGTTCTTCCTTGGACATGAGCTTGGCCATCTCGGCATGAAGCACCTTAAACTCCGAGTACCTCTTGGTCAGATGCACCTTGTCTCCGTCGGGACTACATCCAGAAATGTTGAAGAAGGCGACGCCGACGGTAAACGCGACATTCTCGGCAACAAACGTCCACGCAGGAACGCTCGTGCTTGTCACGGCGAACTCCTCCAGCATCAATGACTTTTTTTCGTGCTGCTCAACCTCCTCCTTCGTCTCATACTTGACTAGTGCTTCATCCTCTTCATTTGTCGGTTCCTCCAACATTTCTGCTTCGACCACAACGGCCTCTTCGACCACAACGGCCTCATCGACCACAATAGACTCTTCGACCACGACGGGTTCTTCAACGACCACTTTAACCAGCTCCTCCGTTGGGATTGGCTTGTCTTCAGCTGCTGGGGTTGTAACGATGACCTGCTTCTCATACTCTTCAACCTCCTCCTCGACAAGTGGGACGCTCTTGCTCGTCTCATCCACGATGATATCAGTAAAAACAATGTCCATCGAGATCTTACCGTACCCTGACGGAGGCTGTGTGGTCGGATCAATGGAGACCTCGTTTGCGATGGAATGGCGGCAGCCCATGATCCTTACGTATGAGAATTGCTAAAGAGGGTAGTAGCTGGCGGGAAGGTCGACTTTGGTTAAAGCGCGAGGAAACCGAAATGAGCTTCAACGTGAAGCGCTCTAGACGTGCAGCGAGAACGACTACAGCGTGTTTCCCGGACTCTGTCAATTAATTGATCACGACGAATGTGGATCGACCGTTTCCCGAACAAAAGCCGTCCTTAGTCACTTAAGGGACCCTAAGGTACGCCCTTCCTCTCATACACACTGTTAAGTGATCCTCCTCGAAGGGCTCTATAGCGTTTTGCTTCTGGGACACGTGAAAACCGATCACGCACTCCGTTTCTTTGTGTCCATTTAAAAGACGTAGTAGACAAGTTTGCCACAGCGACTTTCATGGGTCACTTTTTTCAAGCATGACGGCAGTGTCTGATACTATATGGACTTATTGTTGCAAGAACACGCATTGTCCCATTCAAAGCGGCTTCTAACTAGAAGGAATGGCACGCTGACAACTAGTTTTCAAATTAAGAAAAAAAACACGGCTGATGAAGATACTATATCATCGGTTTGCAAGTCTCATGGTGAGCTCATCTTTAATACACTATTGCACTTTAACACACTACAAAAAAAGATGGTAATCGGCATCGACAACAGACATACCAGCTTTCCAGATCGTATTCCTTTGGACAGATGGAACCAATACGTATGGATTACAACTTGTCAACTTGACTCAGTTGCCGGATAGCACTAGACTTACTCGTCCGTATACTATACAGTATGTACTGGTCAAATGGTACCGGTATATGCTCAGTATTTGGCTAAAATCGGTTGGCTGCCCTTCGACGTAGCCTACTGCCATTCAATACATTCGGGAATTGCTAGCTCACCAAGAAATACTTAACATGGTCAAGGAAACAAAGACTCGCAACACTAAGCGCTCTCCGGATGTGGTCGCTCGTGACTACACTATTAATCTCCACAAGCGTCTTCACGGATGGTATCCTTTTTAACCTCCTTTTTCTATAATAATGCATGTTTTACTTGCATTTTTTCCATTCGGTTCGCCGTAGCTCCCACCTTGGAGACTTCCTTGACTTTTTCTTTGCTGTGCTATTGGTTTATGCTTCCTATTACTACTCTACAGTGTGTTTAAGAAGAAAGCAGCTCGTGCTGTACGCGCAATCAAGAAGTTTGCTCAGGTGAACATGAAGACTCAGGACGTGCGCATTGACTCGAAGCTCAACAAGTTCATCTGGTCCAAGGGTGTACGCAATGTGCCTTACCGCGTACGTGTGCGTCTGTCGCGTAAGCGCAATGACGACGAGGATGCCAAGGAGAAGCTTTACACGCTCGTACAGCACGTACAGGTGGCTAGTTTCAAGGGCCTCCAGAACGACAATGTTGATGAGTAAGCTAGTACTGGATTGAGAAACATCGTTGTGTTATCTCAAGACTCTCCTTTTACCTACCTACCAGTGGGAAGAAGAAGGAGGGCTAGCATGAACATTCTTCCTTGCCGGGGAGTGGAAAACGAATCGTGTTGAGCTTCTTTTTGAGTAGAGAGAATCAATGCAATACGTTCCCATTTGCGGTTTCCCAGCCATGTTGTTAGAGAAGTTTGTTGCTGGTGATCTATGGATGTAGATATGACTGCCCATGTGACATTGATCTGCTAGCATTACCCTTTTGACTGACTAAAACTAACTATGGTGCAATACATCGACTTCAAACACGACTTGTCAGGCAACACATGAGTCACGATCTATCACGGTAGCATATTCTTCCTCACTATCATGACTACGACAAACAACCAAGCCTAAAAATGATATGCATTTTTTTCTTTCTTTTCTCCTTCGCAACGTATGGTTCGCGACTGGAATTCGTTGGTGCAAGTGATCACAGAAAGGCAGACAGCCAGCTTAACAACTTCCAGCCAATCGCCCCCGCGTTCAGCACACCACCGCCCACAGCTCCCGCGTCCTTTGCAGTCTAACCTTCTCGCTTGCACAGAGAATCCTCCTACTGCTGCTGGCACTGCACACGCTGGCCACCGCGCTCCTCGTCCGAGTCGTACGCTTCACGCTGCTGCTGTTCGGCCTTAGCAGCTTCGGCGTCAAAGTCCGACAAGAAGCACTCCTCTGACTCGGCTAGGGGGGTCACGGGCGTAGGGGCAGGCAGCGTGCTCTTGAGCACACTGAGCTGCTTCTCCGACAGACTACCGCTCTCCGGGAACTGCACCTTGAACAAGATAACAAGCTGACCCTTGACAAAAGGGTTGCCATGCGTAGGCATTCCCTCTCCGTGCACCGACTTAAACTGGTTGGGCTTGATGATCTCACCAGGCCGCGTCTTAATGTGTAGATGACGACCATCCAAGTGTTCGACAATCATCTCAAAGCCACAAAGAGCTTCAACAAGACTAATCTTCTTCTCCATAATGAGATTACTGCTCTTTCGTTGAAATGTCGTATGTTCCTTCTCCTGGACAACAAATATAATGTCACCAGGAACTGTACCAGGTGCTTGATCAGCTTCTCCCGCAAACGTAATGCGTTGTCCATTACGCATTCCCTTTTCAATATGAACTTCCAGCACTTTTCGTTCCTTCGTCACCTTCTTCCCCTTGCATCCTTTGCATCGATCCGTCTCTCGAATGTTCTTTCCTTGGCCACGACAGTCCGGACACACACTCTGCATCTGCTGGACCATTCCTGGTGCAATATGACGAAGCTGGACACGCATCCCACGTCCTTGACACGTATCACATGTCTTTTCTGCTCCTTCGGCACCCCCACGGCCTTCACATCGACTGCAAAGGACGTCTCGATTGACTGCAAGCTTGACCGTCTTGCCATTGTACAAGTCTTCAAGCGACACCTTCAGTGGATGGGTCAAATCTTCTCCTTTTTGTGGACCACGTGGTCGACGTCCTCCTTGACCACGGAAAAACTGACTAAACAAGTCACTGGCATCTCCACCACCTCCTCCATTTTGTAGTCCTTCTTCTCCGTATTGATCGTATACTTCACGTTTTTCTGTATCCGAGAGAACCTCATAAGCTACGGTAATCGTCTTAAAGAGTTCCGGATCACCACCTTTATCCGGATGATTCTTCAGAGCAAGTTTACGATAAGCTTTCTTAATCTCAGCAGCTGTTGCTGTCTTGGAGACACCCAGTGCTTCATAAAACTTGGTATTCTCAACGGGCTTCGACGCACCTCCGGCTGCACCTCCTGCACCGCCCTCAAAACCACCACCAAAGAAACTCTCAAAGCCACCACCAAACATTTTTGTTTGTCTTGGTTATTGTATAGAAGGGAAGATAATATAATATCACAGACTGACTATCTGTTTTTGGCTGCTTATGTGTGGACTGCGCGGGTTCAAGACTGGCTGGCTGAGGCGGAGGGAGAGGGAGAAAAAAGGGAGTGTGGAAACAGGCCCAAAAGATCGTCGGTATACAAAACACAAGTCAAATGTCTTCTGGAAAATTCTCTAAATCGAATGTCAACCGACCAAGACGACCGACCGGGAAACGGTGTCGACGTAATTTAGAGAGAGAATTTTTTGCATTCTAGAAGAAATGCCATTACCAATAGAATAGAAGATAAGATGCCAATACAATTCTCTATCCATGGCTTTATACAAACATGAAATGTTATTGTTTAAGTGCAATGTAGACATTGTAGCGGTAGAAATAATGTCGTAGCGAGCAGAAAAGATCGATCAAGTTTAAGCAATTCTTGCCACCAATGCAACAAACAAGTAAAGAAAATGAAACCTAACCTACAATGATGAAAAATAATACGAGGGAGCTTGTGTCCTCTAGTGCTACGATGATCCTGAACGTGTTCGCGTTAATCCATTCATGCTTATTCTGCATGCACTGGGAGCTCCCAAATACAGAATACAATACCTTCGATTGACTAGCCATTCCTCACCGTGCCTCTCTAAGAAGGCTTGTAATGGGGAAACGAGTCCATCAACTGATTCTTGCTGCACGCAGGGATAGTACTCGCCTTGTCAAACTTGTCTGCTAAGTATTTCTCGCTCACTGCCTTTGCTTTGTCGCGCTGAGTGTTGACCACCTGAGACTCGATAGCGTGAAGACGATGAAGCTCCTCGACGCAGTCCTGAAAATCTAGTGGATTGTACTTGGTGACGTGGTGTAATGTAGGAGTCCACGCCTCAGTCTCACTTGTGGTAAAACGAGCGAGGTATACAGCTGAAGCCACCAGCTTTGAAGGTTTGAACCGCACCATGTGGTAAAACAATAGGGCGAGGTCACAGAGGTACTGCAAAAAAGCAAAGAAAGCAAAGGTTAGTGAGGATGATACGTTGTCAATAGGACCCCACCAATTGCAGTGCTCGCACCGACACCAGCGATCGCTGTTTGTCCGTCGTACATCCTGCTTGCATGTAGCGATGCATGAAACCGTAGCAAGTAGTCGATGCAACACGGTACTCTAGTGCCTTGAGCACTTGTGCTTCCATATCGAGCATCTGCACATTTCAGCATAGCACTTAGTCGTAAGCCGCATAGACACGAATATCGGTAACGTACCTCGTCTGCAGTATACGTCTGGTCAGAGATGTATACGAATTCCTCCACATTCGGGCCGTAAACTTCCTCAAATTTCGCTGCAATCATCATACATGCACAGCCTAGGAGCTGGAACTGTTTACGATTAATCTTAATCTTCTTGAGACAACGGTCCACCAAGTTGACCTAATCCACTCCAATTAGACAAGAGAATCATATCCAGCTTCCTACAGATATAAGACTCAACGTACCGCCTTGTGAAACGTCTGTGAGTCGAGCTCGTACTCCTCGCCAACCTCTACGAGCCAATCAATCAAAATCGTGCGCATCTTCTCGTTAATGTCCATTTGCACCGTGCCAATGTAATTTGCTTCAGGTAGATATTTCGTTTCGTGCTTCCTGTAATAAATGTCCAGCTCTCGCACAAGCTTCGCGTAATGCGAACTCATTGTTGCAGATGGAGCATCAATATCACGCACTGCTGCTACGTACGTCGCTTCATCAAAGCACGAGCTTTTGTGATCGTATGTAAAACTGTACGGACGAGGAGCATACTCGTCCCGTCTCTCACATACATCAGCAGATGCTTCGGCTTCCGCTACAAGCGTATCTTTTCCCTGACTCTCCAGTGTCTCTTCTTGCTGCTGTTCCAGTTTCTTACTCTTCCCCACCACTTCCTTCTCTCTCTGCTTTTCTTCCACTACCTCCTTTACAACGTCCTTCTCCACTTCCACATGATCATCCACCTACAATCAAGACACTCTCTCATCAGCTTCTTCCTCTGTTTCTTCTCTATCTCTCTAACTTTCCTACCTCTTCTTCTTCCTCTTCTATCTCCACATTTTCCTTGTCTTCCTCACCCCTCCATCCCTTCTCCTTCTTCACCATCTCCTTTGTCTTCACAGATACCGCTTGAAACGACAACATACTTGTCTGTATCTTTGGATGTAGCGACTGATTCTCCGTTCCTTCGAGTTTCCGCTTCTTTACGCGCGTTATCTCCGTCTTTTTGCTCACAGTTACACGCTTCTTTGCTTTACTAGCCACTGTAGATGCCATAGAGCTCTTCAGTGCCAAATTCACACTCGAAATCGTCGATTTACGACGCAAAGAAGCTCTCGATGCCTTTGTCTTGGGCTTATTCACGTCATCCGCCGTCGTCTCTTTCTTCACGACACCGCATCGCGTCGGTGATTGCGTCTTTGAGTTATTGCTAATGTCTTGCAATGCTCCACGTTTGCGCTTGCGTGTGGCGTCGCTCACTTCGCTGCTCCGAGTACGTTCCATGGGCTCCTGCTGGCAGATAGCGACTTTTTGCGCGCGGTATGAAGCGAAGGGGGGAATGTTACTTTGGCGTTACTTCAAAATGTTTTTTTTTTGAATTTTGAATTTTTATTTGATGCAGAAATCAAGTACAGAATCTTGACAAAAGGTGCTCATGATTCGACTATTGAGACATACTCGGTACATGGCTAGTGCTTTAGAATGCAGATCTAATGATAAAAGAACATCTCACCGGTTGCACTACGGACACGATTGCAAAGTGTGCCACGACCAAAGACAACATTGTATCAGAAGGAAGTATGCTACTACTAGAAGATCCATATAGTCTTAAGGTCTGCAAGACCATAGCAATATAGTTTGTCTTTAGTTAAGACAAAGTTTATTGATATGGTATCGTTGTAAAAGTAGCGAGTAGCAAAGAGGTAATTGCTCAATGGAAGCTGCTGTGTTTCGTATGAAAACGTACATATTCCGCCAAAACATGTATCAGAATGAAAAACTGCTTCAGCGGAGGAGCTCATGCAACTATTGTTCACTGCTGAAAAGGTACTAGTGCACACACAGTCGTCTAGGACTTGATCCATTCATAGACATGGTGAGCTGACACTTTGTTATTTTTTTGCCTTATGCATTGGTTTTGTACGAATATTTACACTATCATGTCATCAATCTTCTCTGTCGCGATCGCTTCGACAAAACTCCATCACGATTTGCTAATATTCACGACAAAGCATCAATTATCAAAAACCTTGCCGAGGTGTGATCCGTCACGTTGATTAATATGTAGTTTTTTTCACTAATGCTACATTGTATCAAAAAAGCCAGGGAAATCCCCTTATTATCCACTAATATTTGCATTTTCTATACCTTTGTCAATCCTTTCTTCCCTCTACAACTTCATTCCCTCTAAAACTTCATGTTCCATCTACATACATACGATCCAATGAAGACGCCGCCGAAACCTTCCAACTAAATATGGTCATTTTTCTTTCCCGTCCGTCAAGCTAAAAGCATTCTACAATGCTCGAGAAAAGTGTGACGACATCTCCCGAGTCAAAACTCCCATCCCCTACCCACAATGAAGCTGCATCTGTCCAACAAGAGTGCAAGAAGATGGCAGAACAGACACGTTCGAACATTGAAAAATTTGTGGACGGTCTTATGAGTGAGAAATATTCACTTGCTCAGTTATTAAACGAGAGTTTTTCCCATGAAATGCTGGAACTTTTATTTAAACGAATGACGAGTCGTTTACGTGGTATTTTATTCTCAAGAGAGAAGACACTGGAGCTTATTCGTCTTGCATTAAATGCATCCCATCCATCCCATACACGTGCGATGGCAGCACAATTTATTGTTCTAGGCGGTGCAGTAAACGCTATTGCTGCGTGTGAACCGGGACAACCGCATCAATGTTCGGAATTCTGGGACTCTATTTTTGACATGTTGCAACGTGAAGCAGACGGTGTGTCATCGAAATGTGGCACCCCATTGCGACGTAAAGAACGTCTTGCATCTGTAGCTGAGATGGAAGAACTTATTCAAGTGGCTGTCCAAGTATTTGAGAAAGATGGGGCACAGACATTGCAACAGAGTTTTGCTGATCATGAGGAAGAGAATCAAGTTATGGACGAAACTGTAGTGGACAGGAGAAGATCTTTACGTGGAACAGAAGTCGATGGTACGAATGCTCGGACAATTGTGTCGCCATTGCACTCACCTGCAAATGGAGAGACGCAGCTGTTGCGGGTAGAAAAGAATGGAAACAAAGTGGTGATGAGGGACAGTGTCGAGATGTCTGGTGTGACGGAGAATGAAGAAGACTCGGACTCGGACGGACCAGACGACACGGGGATCCCGGCCCCACTGACGACCGAAGTCAACGAGACGGCCATGTACGGTATCTTCAGCCATGACTCGGCCAACTTTGCGTCGCAGATTCTTCGCTACTTTGCCATTCGAGGACAGAAAGGTGCCTGCATTTTGCACTTCTTGTCTGACCACCCTGCGACAGTGGACATGCTGCTGGCCAACATCGGCCACGATGACATTCGCACGTTGCTCCTGCACCTCATTTACGCGGAGCACTCGGAGGTCGCCATTACGTCACTGTTTGAAACGCACATGATGCAAAAGTTGATTCAGAAACAGGTGACCTTTTCCCCGCCACGCAACGCCTTCGAGCGAGACGGCATTGAAAATACCTTCATGTTGTTGCGTGAGATCGTGCATGCGCCGTATTTGACAGGACGTGGCGTAGCCATCTCAGCCAAAACCATTCCACTGGACAACGTCACTGGTCAGGATGAGTATGTGTCGATCTGTGGTGCCTCGCGTGAGACCGCCAACTCGGCGTTGCGTAAGTACACGTCACGCAAGGTGCGACGTCTGATCCACTTGTTTATGCAGGAACACCAGGCAGCGCTCGAGTTACTTTTCGTGCAAATGATAAAGGAGCTAACGTTCTGGAGTACACCGCTGACACAAGAGGGACGCAGCAAGGCAGCTTCGCTTGATCCACTGATGCTGCTGTCACAGGGCCACCCACGCCCGACGTGTATTACAATGCTCATGCATCTCTTTGAGCTGACCGAAACGGTGGAATTTACTGACACTCGGAACACAGGCAACAATTCGGCAGCATCAGTGGGCATCGACTGCCTCAACTTTTTGTGCTCCACGCATCTGATGCGGCAGGGAAATCTGCTGGTAAGAAAGAAACTGAAGAACGAGCTCCAGCAATGCCAGGTGAGTTTGAATTGCATGATGGGACTCCGAATGACGACACTGCGCGAAGATCAATCAGACTCGTTGCCCAGTCTGAATCAAGCATTTACTTCAAATCGAGGTAACCAGATTGTGATTACTTTGGATGAAATGGAAAACGTGCAGAGCTCGGACTGGCATCAGTTTGGGTTTTGTGTGACTGTCAAAAAGAAGGTACTCGATGCTAGCAAGAGCTTAGTGGCTTCGCACCGTGCTGTTGTGCCTCCTGCGAACGCGATGGTGCATCATCACCAACGCCGCAATGGACGGGAAGATGATTCTGCGACGATGGAGATTATATCCATCGAATACTTTGCAGCGTCATCTGAAGAAGAGAAGCAGGCGTGGATTACACTATTACAGGCGGTGATAGATGGCGATCTGAACGAACTGGAAATCTTTTGCAGTGATGACTGGCGCAGCAACGTGCGTGAGTATCGTCGCCTGCGTGAGTGCTTAATCACGTGTATGGAGCGCAAAGGCCACGAGCTTATGGTTTTTCTGAAACAGGTCATCACTGCCAACACCCGCAAAGCGTCGGGTTTCCATCTATGGTCCGTTGTGAAGTGTCTTAACTCTGTGTTGTCAAACGAATCGAAGCGTCTGGACCGCATGTTCGTAGATGCTCATGTGATCACCACGCTCATCACGTGCTATGACAAATACCCGATGTGGAATTTGCTGCTTGGTGAAATAACAAAAATGCTGCTGTTTTGCATTGGCGATTTCAAAAGTAAACGCTCGCGCAAATGTCCGATCATTGGACGCATTCTGCAGACAGAGGGACCTGACGCGAAATTGGCGCCCTTACTTTGCACAGTATATTCAAACCAAGATACGAGTGACAGCAAAGGGAAGCAGAAATATGATACCATGGCGGGTACCGATGCCTTTTCTAACCTGAAGCTGATAATGGAGGCCCTTAAGATGTGCTATAAGGATCCGAAAACGGGGAGCCAAACACGTATTCAGTGCGATATGAGGATCAATCCAGTGTGGCGGAAATTGGTTCAGGCATCGGAAGACTTGGCAAAGAAAGATCCTTTCAGCTCTATCTTGACGGTTGGACGACCCCCTGCGCTATCTTCTGCAGATGGCAAAACCTCAACGACCTGGCCATTTGAAACTGCTGCACCTACGCAACCCACGTTCCAGGAAGATATCATTAATCAGATCAGCCCCCCAAGTTATTCTACCGCCCATGGCTTTGGCTCCTCCTTCTTAGAGGGTGACGGATGTGCATTTGGGTATCTGTTTAAAGAGCGCCAGGGCGGACGGGAGTGGAAGAAAGCACTTGTTGTGTATGAGTACGTCTCACATAAGTTGTGGTACTTTTACCCGAGCGAAGTGAATGAGACTCACGTGATTAAGTGGAAATGGATCGTTCCGCTGTCTGTCCGCAGCCGCTACACACATGGCCAAGATGAGACTCACACGTCAGTGGGCCACCATGGTCTCTATATAACGGCGTACGATAACCAGCAAAGTGACGAGGATGCGAATGTCTCAGCGAAGGAGATGCATTTCAGTGTTACTAAACTAGAGGATAGAGATCTGTGGAAGGATTTACTGTCTACCGCGGTCGACACAATTCAAAAGATGTCCCGCGATTATACAGTGCTGTCGCAGAAACTGAAGAAACCCGACAAAAAGATAGTTACGCACTGCCAAGACCCAAGTTGCAACACGCTGTTCAAGCTCTTTCGTCGTCCACACTCGTGTAAGCGTTGCGGCAAGTGGATGTGTGCCAAGTGCACTTCGCAACGCATGTCGATTCCCGAAGTGGGTTTACTGCATCCTGTCCGACATTGTCGTAAATGTTTTGAAGCGCATGGAGGTACACACGCTGAGGTGGAACCTTTCAATCTGTTTCATCTCGCGTCACGAAACGGTAGCAGTATAAATGGTGCTGATTCCAATGTGACGACGGCGGGTTTGCAAAATGGTACATTGTCCAATGCAGAGCTGTATGAGCTAGCACATGGTACCGTCTCGCCGCGCAATTTGACGCAAATGAACCGTCGTTTGACTCGCATGAGTTCGATAGAGTCACCCACAGCATTTGACAATGGAAGTGGGTTCCATGTTGATGAAATTGATGCACCGGGTAACCTCGGAGTGGAAAATTTTGCCACTTTTGCAGATGAAGAAGACGATGTTTCTCCATTTTCGTCATTTATGTCTCGTCGCAGTTTGCTGAATCCTCGAGAAGATATTCGTGGCTAGAGGTGATAGATGTTGAAGCTCGGGACGTGGTAGACATAAGGTATTAAGGGATAATAAGTCGTTACGATGTGCTGGTAGTGTATGTGAATGTTTGTGGCATTTTGAAATAAGGTTTCGTACACAGTTGTAGCATGTAGGTAAATGTTTGTAGCACTTGAATTTAAGGTATTGTACATAACTCGTTGTCCGAATGAAGCGTGGGCACGAGGCTAATGACGGCCACGAGCAGTCAAAACGTTTGCGTCGCTCTCGCTGGGGCGACACTGACGACGAGAAAGATACGTCAACATCTACAAGTCAAACGTCTGCAAGTCCTAAAGCTTTAAGTGATATTGTAAAGCGACTGTCGAGTGTCGTGAAGGAAAAGACGACGCCCGAAGAGCTCCAGATTGCAGCCACGCGGCCTTTAATTGTGAGTACATTTGTAAATACTTTAAATGTTTTGATGCTGTGCTTAGAACGTGGCCATTGGATGCAATGTCTTGCCTGCTGTTCGGTGTTTGATGCTTGTGTGCTTTAGTTTCATACTCGTGTCTGCGCTGTTGTATAGGGAGCAAGTGGTCAATTGGATGCACAAGCTGCAAGAGCACGAGCTTTGGCTCAGGCGAGTCTATTGTCACTAAATCTACCGGGTACGAATGTCTCACCTAATGACTTGGCACGACGATTGTACATTGGCAATCTATACTATGACCTCAAGGAGGAAGACATTCGCAACGCCTTTGCGCCGTTTGGAGTGATTCACTCGATTGACTTGTCATTGGAGCCCGGGTAAGATTAAATGAATTTTTTTGTGTTGTTGATGCAAGTTATCTGATGATGAAAGTGGGGCAGTGCATCACGTTCAAAGGGGTTTTGTTTTTTGGAGTATGATGACGTTCTAGCAGCTGAAAGTGCTGTACAAGTGCTTAATGGAACACCGTTGGCCAACCGAACTATGCGAGTAAGTTGAGGTATGAGGTTCTCTTTGCCGCAGGTTTTGCTTAGGTGTTGCTACATTTTTTGGCTGCAGGTTGGTCGACCGCATCGTGGAAATACAAACCCGAATGATTCGCTCTCGATCGGACAAGAGGCAATTAAGAAGCAAGTGCTGCTCCTGTTTGTGTTTGCTGAAGAAATGTTATCTGTTGACTTGGGTTTTGTTTTTCTACGCGGGACAGTGTACCGACCAAGTGCGTCTACATTGCTAACGTTCGTGCGGAGCTACATAGTCAGCACTTGGAGGTTCGTGTGTTCTTTGGACGATAGTCTTTGTTGTGGCGTGTTTGATCAAACGTCGGAATGTAGAGCATCTTCTCTCCTTTTGGAGCTGTTCGTGCGTGTGTCATGGCGGCGATCTCACCCGTGGAACCTGGACTGGTAAGCGACAGCGAGATTGGTGATGGAGGGAGCAACAAACTAACGTTAAATGGTTTTTACTACCTTTTAAAGCACCGCGAATATGGCTTTATGGAGTTTGTAGAGGAGAGCTGCGCACTGAGTGCGATTCAGCATATGAACGGTTTTGAACTAGCTGGTCAACCACTTAAAGTGGGCAAGGCGAGTGAGGCAGCTATGTTGCTTAACCTTGCCACTAGCCAGGACAAGGTAGTGCGCGACGGCTCAGGTGTCACAGTGGATGGGGCCAATGGAGTAGCCGAGCCGGAAAAAAAGACGATTTTTGCTGAAGATGACGTCGAAGGCGTGAAAGACGTCGCAGATGGCGACAGCAAGTGCTGTCTCTGCTTAGTGAACCTCGTAAACTGTGGTGAAGTGGACGACGAGGTCGAGGACGAGGTGCGTGGCGAATGTGGCAAGTTTGGTACCGTCAAGAAAGTGGTAATCCACGAGCTGGCAGACCACGTGCGCGTGTTTGTGGTGTTCGAAAATGCAGCTGGAGCTTTGAAGGCCAAGCAGGCTTTGCACGGTCGATTTTTTGGTGGGAATCAGGTACAGGTGCACAAGTATTCGCTGCATGAATTGGAGCAGCAGCGTTACACGAGTGGATTTCTGTAAACACCAAGTTGACTATGACAACGAAAGTTACGCGATGAGTGATACACAAACAGAGTACTTGGTTACACACATCCACAGTGAGAAAGCTACCTGGTCAAGAATGGGTGGGGTTCCCTGTGCTTGCTTGCTTGCTTGTGTGTCGTCCACGCTGTTGGTATAGCTCTCTCTCTCTTCTCTCTCGATCGACTTCTGGATTTATTGGTGTAAGCTTCATATTGTTCAGGGCAGCTGGTCCGTTTTGGCTAACTCGAGAATGAATTTGCCTTCCTTGTACTTTTCCGACGCGTTGTGTGCTTCTTTCTACACGTAGGCACAGTCTCCGAGAGAAAAACAAACAAGTACAAGATGAACAAGAGACAGACAAGAAATGAGTCACAGCAAAAATGAGTCACAGCAAAAATGAGTCACAGATGCAGCACGAAATACGAACGTATTTCCATCCAATTGGACTCCAGCATGTATTGCAGTAAAGGTCCAGCACGACATGCAGTCCCGTCATGAGCATCCGCTCTTCTGGTGGACCCACACACACATTGACTCTGCATTTGTATGGACAAGATAAAGTGAGAAGAATTTTGTCATTACTATGAACAATTGTAGCCAGAGGCCTTACGCTGTGTCGAAAAGGTAAGCTTTGCCGCTGGTGCCATGGAAGTTCTAGCAAGAGAAACATCAGAAATATGTAATAAGAGATGGAGTGAGAGTCTCTTACCTTGGAGATAATGTCTTCGTTACGAGCAAGATGCGCATTGCACTTGGCGCATCGGAAGATACGAGCGCTATCCACGTACTCCTCGAAGACGCGTCCCATTGTGTGCTTGTACGACGACTAGTTTTCTGTCATGGCTTTATATTTTGACGAAAACTTCAACATGCCTTTTGCATAAATTTGACGATACATTCATTACCCACAATCGACAGATAAAAACTTCAGCTTCTTAGTGACAAAGAATGACCAAATACGTCAAGGTTTTTATGATGCAGCAAGTGCCAGTCGATGTCAAGGGACTAAGGAAGTTCCTTGGGCTAGCGGCGTACTTGCACAAGTACTCGCGCAAATACGCCAAGATGACAGTAGATCTTTCTTGTTTAATTAAGAAAAATGTAAAGTGGAATTGAAACGCTGACTGTCAGCGTTCCTTTGGACGTATCAAGCAAAGCTTGATGTAATCGCCATTATTGGCGATTGCCGATCAAGACAGACCATTTCATGTGGTCTGTGACGCCAGTGATTTTGCAATCGGCTGCGCACTTATGTAATATTGTGGTGAAGTGGCTTCCTAAATTGTGAAGAACCCAGGGTCCAGTTGGATTGAAGGGACAAGGGGTCGTGGACTAGGGAGAAGGGACCACGCACTCGAGAGAAGGGACCGGAGATAATGGGAACCTCGGAGTGAAGCGACCGTTGGCTGAGAATTTGAAAGACAAACAAAGGAGAGGTCATTACCAGGGTACTGTTTAACCGGTACCGAAGGGAGTCGACCATGGCCCTCATTGGTCGACCCGGTCCATCATTGGTCGAACAGGTCCCTCATCGGTAGACCTGGGTCCCTCATCGTTAGACCTCGCCTCCTCGTCGGTAGACCCGGTCCCTCATTGGTCGACCCGATCCCTCATCGGTAGGCCTGGGTAGACCTGGTCCCTCATCGTTAGACCTCGCCTCCTCGTCGGTAGACCCGGTCCCTCATTGGTCGACCCGATCCCTCATCGGTAGGCCTGGGTAGACCTGGTCCCTCATCGGTCGACCCGGTCCCTCGTTGGTAGACCTGGGTCCCTCATTGGTCGACCTCGGCCCCTCGGGGTTCAGCCACTCCTGACCAGTTAATACAAGGATCAGACCAGTCGACGCAAGGAATCAGAGCTTCAGGCAAGGATAGAGTAAAGGAGTTAAAAGGATAGGACTATATTAAATACTACTCAATTTGCAATCTACGTGGCACGACTCCGTCACCCAAGAAGAACTTGCTCTAAGCTACTCACTGTTCCGGGAAGGGATATATTTTGGCCCCCCGTCGAAGTCAGTTGTGTAGCGAAGTTCAAGTGCGAATAGAGCTCCAGGATATATTTGGCCTGTGAGCTCGTTCGAGTGTTGCTACTCGTCCGCTATCGGAAGCGGTCTCCCTCACCTCAAGGTCCGGGAGCAACGTAAAGGTCAGGTGGTTAATACCCCTGAAACAAGAAGGAAAAGGCCAGGGATAAGCTCCCTGAAGAATTTGGCTTTAAGTCCACTCTCGACTAGGTCGATCGAGTGGCCACCTACCGGCCCACCGAGTGAAGCATATCCACTCGAAGCCCCCAGGTCTACCTCCCTCAAGGCAGACGTCTACATCTTCACCAAGTCCTCCGAAGAGTGCAACCCGCCAGCCGGCGGGTACACAAGGTGAGAGAAGGTTCATACGCGGCATCAAGGTACCCCCTCCGACAGTCGGCAGTCCGGCACAGTGAGTGGTTTGGGGTCTCATCATACAATTTTGAGAACACACTCCACCACAATATGATACAGACGTCGCAGAGCGTGTCGTCTGTTATCAATCGCGTCAGGTGCAACCAGCAGAGAGCAACTACCCGGGGCATGACAAGGAACTCCTTGCCATGAAGTATGCACTGGCTAAGTTTCGCGTCTATCTCTTAGGAGATAGACCGTTCATTGTATATACAGACCATGCGTCACTACGCACGGCTGTAAATAGTCCACACCTCTCGCAACGAATGGCGAGATGGTTGTCGTTCTTCGCGGAGTACAACTTCTCCGTGGAGTATAACCGGGACGACTTAACGTCGTCGCCGATGCTCTTTCACGTCGGCCTGACCTAGATCCGACTGTGAAATCCGACAGCAATGTGAACACCACTGTCGCCACGCTGAGTACCAGCGTCTTGTCTTCGAGTAAACTCGACGACATTAGAATGGCATGTGCACAAGATAATGATCTTGTACGCCTGATGGAGTACCTCAAGGACCTATCCACGCAACCTAAGAAGCGCTTGTCTACCATGTATCGATCTTCTCTCGATCGATACACCCAGCGGGACGGCTTACTGTACTACACAGCCGTCAACAACGACACGCCTCGTGTCGTTGTACCGTCACAACATGATATAAGGTTACGGATCATGTTTGAATGTCACGATGCACTAATAAGTGGGCATCACGGCCGTGAAAAGACTTATCTTACGGTCAGTCGCGACTTTTACTGGCCACGCCAGTATAAGTTTGTGCGCAAGTACGTACGTGCTTGCGAGGTGTGTCAACGAGTGAAGCCTATTATTTCACTCCGTGCACCGTTGCAGCCTCTACCTGTTCCGGCAGAGTGCTGGGAGTCCGTATTCATGGACTTCGTCTTTGGGTTTCCCAAAGACGCTCACGGAAATAATGGTATTCTCGTGTTTGTAGACAGGTTCAGCAAGATGGTACATCTTATTGCTGTACCTGAGTCGATCACAACAGAAGGCTGTGCTCGAGTGTTTATCGATACAATCTTTTAATTGCACGGTTTACTTCGTGAACTTGTGTCCGATAGGGACCCCCGGTTCACGGCTGAGTTTTGGCGTTCCGTGTTCCAAACACTTGGAACACGGCTCACAATGTCTACTTCTGGCCATCCAGAAACTGATGGTCAGACTGAATGCGCCAATCGCGTCCTCGAAGAGATTCTTCGAGGGTACGTCCACTCGTTTACGAGTTGGAGTGAGTTTTTGTCGATGGTCGAATTAGCCATCAACAACTCAGTGCATGCGTCCACGACGCATACACCGTTCTACGTGAATGGCCTTCGCCATCCACGTGTTCCCACCTTAGAAGAGGGTGACTCAAATTTAAAAGGAGGGAAGAGACTCGCTCGAGCGAGAACCAATCTAGCTCTTGCTCATCACGCGACGACGTTATGGTCGACGCGAAATCAATCGAAGTCGTACCATTCGACATCGGTGAAGAGAAAGAAAGTAAGACCAATGACGTTCTTACTTATGATGATGCTGACGTCGTCAGCATCGTTCGATTCATTACTATAATGTTCTCGATGAGTTAGTAACAGATATCTCTGCAGTGTATTCACAATGCACTGCAGCCAAAAGCAACGAGTCAGCTGAGGATTTCCTGCTGACCCGCAAAGCGGTAGTCCGTTTCGCGCAAGACTCCGACGCAGAAGCGGAGGACAAGCAAAAACGAACCGCAGACAATGATGGGAGGGCAATGCACAAACATTTTTTGAGGAGATTTAGTTTTACTGTCTACAGTAAATATACCTATTTGTGCTGTGACTAACGTGGGCAGCAATAAATTGTTGCCCAAGTACATCGGCCCGTCTCACGTATTGCGCCGCCTAGGCAACGCGTACACGATTAAGCTGCTACGCAGGATGCGTACGCATCCTACGTTTTACGTGGGACTTCTTCGTCCGTACGTTCAGTACGCGGCTTCTTCGAACGACGAAGATAGCCATTACTTTCAAGAATCCTCTTCAGATTCTTGTTGTCACGAACCAGATTCGATACCTGGTCGTGTAGAGATGAGATCGTCCCATGATATTGGACGATCTCCTGACTAGCTGTCGCCAGCTCGTTACTTAGAGAATGAAGCCGCCGTTCATTCTCCAATAGTGCGACAGCATTGTTTGCCCGAAACTTCTCATGTTCAAACCCAAGCTGTCGCTCAATGTCCTCTAAGCGGCGACGCTTATCCCGTTCGTGATCAACATCACAACGGAGCTCACGAGTTACACGGGCAAACCCGTCTAACTCAGCAGCCAAGTCCGATGAAAGAATTGGACAGGGTTTTCCTTCCTTTACCGCACCCGCTATTGGACTCTCATGGTGGGAAGCGCTTCCTCGTGGCCTTGGCAGCGATGCGCATTGACTTGGTCATTGCGTTGCAGAAATTATATATAAGAATAAACAAAAAGTTCTCCCTTCCCATGGTCACTAAACAGTCACTTGTGTGAGTGTTGGTTAAGGGGGGTGATGTTAGGGGTGGGTCCGTTACATAATATTGACACCAAATGT